TCCAAAGTGGCTGCCCCATTCTGCATTCCACCAGCAGTGAGTGAGACTTCCTGTTGCTCCTCATCCTCACCAGCATTTGGTGGTATCAATTTTCTGACCATTCTAATAAGTGTATAGTGGTATCTTGTGTTAATTTGTATTTTCTTTTATACGTTTAATTTGTATTTCTTTTTATTGACATATGATGTGACATCTTTATTTAACTTTTTTTTTTTTGAGACAGAGTCTTGCTGTGTAGCCCAATCTGGGTTTTAACTCATGATCCTCTGCTTCAGCTTCCCTAGTGCTGGAGTTATAGGCGTGGGCTGCTGCAGCTAGCTGTGGAGCATCTTTTCATAGGCTTACTTGCTTACACAGGCTTACAGGTTTTATTTGGTGAGGTATGTGTTACGGTCTTCGGCCTTTTTTTAAATTAGTTGTTTATTGTGTTGTTACTTGCATATTTAAGAGTTCTTTGTATGTTTTAGATAATGCTCTTTTACTTAATGTCTTTTGAAGATACTTGCTTCCAGTTACACTTGCTTGTATTCCTCATTTTCTTATTGTTCTCTGATGGATCATGCCTTTGCTGTTGTAGTAGCTACAAAGTCAAAAGATGGGTTTTCTGTTATCTTGTAGCAATTTTATAGTTTCTCCGTTCTACATTACATGCACGGTGTTCTTTTATACCTTGCTGACTCTGTCAGCTTCTACCTTTTGAGTGTAATTGTTCTCAGACGCTAGTGTCTAATTCTGTCCCTTTGCTGAAGAACACTTGTTGCTCTTCTAGGTTTAATTTCTTACTTTTGTAACAGACTTGTTCTTATTTCCCTTCACGCCTTGGTGTGAATTGCCAGCTCTATCTCTTTGTTAAGAGTGTATACTGACCACTCAGGAGTATATCTACTTTCTAGTCTGGGTGGGATCCACTAGTGGGTGTTGAACCAATCTTTATGATATGTGAAGAAATGGAATTCAGAAACTGTTATTTTATTTATTTTACTTCTTGGTGGTACAAGGGATTGAACCCCAGGGCCTTTGCTCTGAGCTACATCCTTAGCACAGGAGTTCTTTTATGTATTCTAACTCTTTTTTAGATAGGGTCTGAGTTGCTAAATTGACCACTTGGGCTCAAACTTGTGATTCTCCTGCCTCAGCCTCCCAGAATGCAGAGATGATAGACGTGACCACCATACCCAGTACTCTTTTTATGTTTTTAGAGGTAAAAGTAGAAGAATCGTTTGGCCTTTTATAAGAGAAATTTTTGGCTGCCCTCAAACAGATGCAGAACAGTAATTAGCAAGCAACAGACAAAAAGATGGATACTATGGTAAAGGAAGAAAATGCTTTAAAAAACTTGAATGCCCATTGATTTTTAAGCAATATTTGAATCAGCATATTTTAACATAACAATATAGACAGTTTTCTGCCATGGTTTACACAGATTTCTACTTTGTATAGCTTCAAATAAATATTTGAATCTGTGAATGTTTTAAAAAAGATAGACCCTTTTTTTCTAAAATATATAATGCATCTAAATTTCTTGTGCCTTTTTTATTTCATAATTTAGCCCTTGGTTTTCCTCATTATGGGGCCAGCCTGCTTTGTACCAAGCTGTTGGTCAGCTATTTACGTGTGATACTTCAAGAACTGGAAGACAGGGGCCACTTCTGACGCTGCTACCCCTTTTGCTAATACAATCAGAAATCTGTCTTTGTTGCTTTCTCTCTAACTGTATTGTCTTATAGATACCTAGTAAGTCGCTTCTTTTCAACTCTGTAGTATCTTCACAGATAATGTAGAAGAGGATGCGTAAGAAACTGCAGCATAAGAAACAATAGTATAAGAAATTGAAGGACACGGTTGGTGAGTTGGGTGCTGTCACTCATAGTGGTGTGATAATGTATTCCTCTTAGTCTGGTTTTTTTCCTCATCTGTCAGATAGGAATAATAATACTTCAGAGGTTGCTGAGAGGACCAGTTGATGTATTAGGTGTGAGTACTTAAAACAGTCCTCCATAAGCATTCAATAAATGTTAGTTTTGATCTCAGTACTATTGACATCTTGGGGCAGATGATTGTTGTGGATGGGTAATTGATGCAACTCATACCCTTCTTCTGATGTTGGTCAGAGGCTTGTATATGGCCCTTTCATGCTTAATAACTTCGTCACATAGAACAGGGAACCAGTGTGGGGGATTTGACTGGTTACTACTATATTTATTTTCACTAAAACGCCAGGACTAAAAAAATAAGCACAAGATTGGCGTATGGTTCCATAGAATCCCACTTGGGATACAAGAGACATCTTTATCTCTTATCTCTGAGAGCTCCCCCTTGACTGGTGGACCACGTTTTGGGCCTCCAGGGGTTAGTGTCAGTTCAGAGATAGTATCCTGTAACCTTTGGAAGGACTGTATTTGCCTTTCTGCAGCTGACAGTCTCCGTGGGGAATTGCTGCGTATTGTTCTTGACAAAAGCTGGAGAACAAAAGCCTTGTAAAGGGCCCGGTAATCCGTTTAATCCTTCTTGCCCTAATACCGTTTGAGTGTACTCCCACGTGTGCTCCCCAGACTCCAGCTGACATTCCGCAGATCTTTTTTTTTTCCTGATACCGGGGATTGAACTCACGACCTTGCGCTTGCCAGGCAAGTGTTGTGCCGCTGAGCTATATCCCCAGCCCTCCGCAGATTTTTTTGGTAAGAAGGTAGGCCTTGAACTTCTTCCTGGGCTCTTTTGGGCTGTGGGACAATAAAGAACAGTGGGAGTACTTAGTGAAGAGAATCGGCATTCCTCTGTCAGACAACTTGGAAGGGTTTTATGGAGGGAGGTATCAGAAGTGTAGACGCCCTCACAGGGTTGAATAGCTGCTTTCAGCAGGGAAGTTCAGCTGGATTGGAGTTGAACATTCTTATTCTCACGTGTGTTTGCCCAGATTTCTCCATAATTAAGATTATTCTGCTTTCCAGACAGTACCCCTGTGTTAGCACAAGAGATTGCAAGTTTGCTTGTTTAATTGGCTTTGGAATTCTTTCCATCAAACTCTAGACTCAATCCTTAGTCCTCTTAGGTTGGTAGCTATAAAAAGTAAGATCCTCTGAAACAGCCATAGACTTTCCACCCATCCGTTTGGGAATTCACAGCTTTGAACTTGTCATTGGCTCTGTGGGCATTCCCATGGACAGCCAAAAGCAGGCCCAGCCCATGTTACCATCTCTGAAGTCAGTGTTTTCATCACTACTTGGATTTTCACCACCCTGCACTCCTTCCTGTGAAGGGCGTCTTACCAGCGGGATTGTTTACTAAGCAGTTATGGACAGGGCTAAGGGTGCCAAGCAAGGGATGGTGAAGCAAGGCCAGGAAGCCATTAATACTCCTAGGCTTTCAACTGTAACTGTAGGAGAAGGGGCTGCCTGGTAGAAACTGTGGTCTTAGGAAGTGAAACTATCACTGTCAGAAAGAGAGCAGGAGGCATAAACAACCTTGGAATCCACAAAGAGTAGCAGTTGGATCTGGGAAGGCAAATAGAGACTGTCTAGCACCGTTGCCAGAGTGGAACCTCTGGCCCAGATTAAATGTGTACCTTGACTGTAGTTTTCTACATTCAGCTGCTTCCTCTGCCTGTGTTGATGACCTCTAGGTACTTCCTGTGAAGAAACGTCTCCAGCTCGTTCCTCCTCCTTCATAACATGCACTCAATGTGATTTTTTTACTGTCCCTTCTAAAGGGAAGGCCCAAGGCCTAATGTTTTCCTAATTCTGTTCTCATGGGTTATAGCCCACAGTAAGGCACAGACATTTATGCTTGTATATAATAAAGTATCAGTGGGACCTACCATTCCATATCCTACATTCTCTTTTTTTGTTTGGTTGGTTTTTTGAGATGGTCTCACTTTGTAATTTAGACTTCCCTGGAATTTACTATGTAGCGCAGGTTGGTCTCAAACTTGTGGCAATCTTCCTGCATCAGCCTCCCAAGTGCTGGGATTACAGGTGTTCACCACCATGCCTTTCTTCCCCTCTCCTCTCCTCTCCTCTCCTCTCCTCTGTTCTCCCCTCCCCTCCCCTCCCCGCTTCCCTCTCCTCCTCTCCTTCTTTGTCTCTTAGTACATGATTGCAGTACATAATAATTATATTCTTTGTGGAGAGCTGGTACATGTACATAATACAGTTTAATTCATTTTCATCTCTTTCTTTTCCCCACCCTCCCTTCTTCCTCCGTCTCTTGATGGTTGAGCCAGGCATGGTGGAGCATGCCTATAGTCTCAGCACTCTGGGAGGTGAAGTGGGAGAATCTCAAATTCAAGCCCACTCTGGGCAAATTAGTGATTTAGTGAGATTTAGTGAGATTTTCAAAATCTGAAAAATAGGGCTGGGAATGTAGCAAAGGCCTAGTTTCAAGGGCTGGGAATCTTCCTGCATCAGCCTCCCAAGGGCTGGGAATGTAGTGCAAAGGCCTAGTTTCAATCCCCAGTATCAATAATAGTAATAATAATAACAATAACAGCAGCAATAATACATCAAAAACCGTGTCCTACATTCTCAAGGAAAAGGTGTGGTTAGGATAACGCATTATCTTCCCTCTCTTGCCAGTGCTTCAGATTGAGAAGGATGGGCTGAGGTGGATCCTTCGTAAGGATAAGATAATCTGTCCAGGTAAAGATAATCCATCTTAGTGATGGGAGCTCCACCTGCGCTACTACGTAAGCAGTAGACCACTGTGACAGGAGGTTGAGGCTCTCGTCATCCAGCCAGAGCTCCTTTAATGAGAGTTAACCCTCATTCCACATGATCTACGGAATATAAGCTTCTGGAACTTCCTTAGTGAGGAAGCTAGATGGGATACAAATGTTAGTGGGCTAGCGATAGGAACATAACAGAAACTAAATCTCTAACGTAAGCCGAGCAAAAGTAAATTCCTAGCAGAATAAACACCAAGTGGATCCTACTTAGAAGGAATGGTAGATGGTCGAAGTCATTTTAAACTGTTTTGCTAATAATTCTTTTTTTTTTTCTGTTAAGGTTGCATGATGGAATTTGAACATTACCTCAAGAGGTTTCATACTTTGGATTAGTTAATTGTTCTCATTCTTCTGATTATTTCTTCGGACTCATTTTTTGGTGTCCTCTTGAGATATTAAATACAAAAAGATTGTACCATGGACTACAAGGAAAGCTGTCCAAGTGTAAGCATTCCCAGCTCTGATGAACACAGAGAGAAAAAGAAAAGGTTTACTGTAAGTATGTAATGTAAACCAGGAGAAAATTACTTACAGAGGAAATTTCTGTGTTGTGATTTTTCTTCTATAACCTAGAATGCTTCTCTTCCCCCATATCCAGATTTTACTCTGTGTGTGTGTGTGTATGCGTGTGCGTGCATATGCAGACACGTGCACATATGCACATGGTACTGGGGATTGAACCCAGGGCCTTTGCATATTTTTTATTTTGAGACAGCTCACATTAATTTGCCAAGTTGCCAAGGCTGGGCTTAAACTTGTAGTCTTCTTGCCTCAGCCTCCCATGGTATTGGGATTACAGGCACGAGCCACTATGTCTGGCTTAAATTTTCCTTTTTTAGTGTAGATTTTTTCCTGTTTACGTATCCCCTTGGAGAATCTTATGACGTTGTCTGCTAGGTCATCTTACCAGAAAATGTGTGTGTTCGTACATGTTTATCTGCCCACTGATAATTTTGTGTGCCCAGTCAGGTAGTGTGGGCTCCTGGAGTCACAGATCCCATGTTAAGAACTGCTGTCTCAAACGTTCCACAGTATTTTTATTGTATGTATTATTTTATATCTTGTTGTAAAATACAAAAACAGTTTTAAAAATACTTTTTTATCTTTTTTTTTCACCTTAAAGGCAATGTCCATTTCTGATTTTATTTTTTAATACTATAGAATCTATTGTAGGACTGTAGAAAACATATGTACAATGAATTTTTGCTGAATCAGTATTGTCAATGGCTGTTACTGATGAGTAGTCACTTTTCTGATTATAATACACAGTATTACTTTGATTCCACTAGTCTGGTTAGCGTACGCAGAGATCTCCTGCCCTTGTTCTCCTGAAAAGAAAGTATCATTTATCTTGTCTGTAGTTGACCTGGTCTTCCTTGTAAGTACCCTTCTTTCCCCACTAATTTTAACCTAATGCTTTTAACACTTAGTTTGATCTTGATAAAAATGTCCAGGTTGTCATAATTCTGCTTTTTCTCCCCTTTGCTTCCCCAAGTTGGTATCTTGGTTTGTGGGAGGAGGAATGTTCTTTTTCACAGTGTCTGCTGAGAAGACTGACGTCATAGCCTACTGAAGACTGTTGTATTTTTGTAATCCTTCTAGTTCAGTGGTGGTAAACCTATGGCATCTGTCCCACAGCCAGCTGGTTTTTTTTTTATCATTGAAAGCTCTAAAAGGTTCACCATCACTGTTCTAAATCTTTGCTGTTCTGGTTGTAGAGTGGCTGGTCTGGAAAATACCCAGCTGTGGTTGACATGACTCACCCACGGGCATCTGCAGTTGCTGGACTAACTTGGGATCTGTTTTTCATTGGTTTGGGCAGGGTCTTAGAGGTGCTCTCTGCCCTTTCAGTGCCTTGGCTCTTGAAGCTGAAGAGCCAGCTGAGGCTCTGACACATGTTTTCCGCTCTTGGCTCAGTGGCCTACATCTGGCCTTTACTGAGGGACTCACCTGTTGGGCCTCATGACGAGTGACTTTCAACTCAGAGTCCATGGAACACGGGATTGAGGAAAGCTGAAGAGTAAAACTAAATTCTGTCTAGTGTTATACTCTGCCTTCTTAACTAGCGGTGCCTGCGTGCCCCACGCGGGCTTTCTCCCAGCGTCTCAGCCAGGGAGCAGGGAAACAGCCCGTCACTCCTGTGCTGCCCTTCCTAAGCAAGCGCATCTCCCATGTCCTGCACTGAAGCAAGACCAGAGAGGTTGGAGTATGTGTGTCTGGCATTTCCCTGCCCTCGGCCTCTGCATTGCAGGGCTATCTTTAAAAATATGCATTTGTTACACATTAATATACTTTTATAGGAATATCACAAGGAAGATAAACCTGATAAAATAGTGGGGTATGTGCAGGTTTTTCCTTTTCCCTCTCTGTATTTATTGTTTTTGTTTTTTGTGAGACAGGATCTCTCCATGTAGCCCAGGCTAGCCTCAGACTTGTGATCCTCCTGTCTCAGTACCTCCATGACCAGCTTCGTCTCCTTTTTTACCCGCTTTAGGCTATTTTCCCCTTTAGGGACTTACATTGCAGATATGGGTAGTTGGTTACCTCAGGTGTCTTGATTTTCAGGATTTTCAGGATATCTTCTTGGAAAAGGTCTGGAAGGCCTTTCAAGATGCTCTTACTCAGCCGTTCCCATCCGGTGCCCTGAGTTCTCCAAGGCCCTGTCCAAATCACCTTGTTCATTTACTTCAAATTCTGGAATTTTGCCTCATTAAAGAGGCTTTTCTTGGCTAAAAATATAAAATAGCACCTTCACACCACGTCCTACCCCTTTTACTCTGTCCTACTTACTATACTTAAGTTAATAGCTGTTATCACCACCTGACATATTTTGTGTTTTTTATATATGCCTTGCCTGCTGGAATGCAAGGTTCTTTGAAACAAGGACTTTATTGTTTCCCCAACCCCCCAGAATAGAGATAGTAGATGTGCCCTAAGTATTTGTTGAATTCCTATTGAATGAAAGTAGTACTAGTTCATGTGCTAGTTTCTGGGTCACTCTGGCGCAGTCCTCGGTTCTCTAGAAACTTGGTTCTCTCATTTTCTATGTCACTGGGAAAAAACACTCAACACCTGAAATTTAAAGGCGGAGAGGTATGTTTTGGCTTACGTTTCAGAAGTTTCAGTCCTTGCATGGCCAGCCAGTACCAGACAGAACTGGTGTGCAGAAAGGGCCTGAGTGGAGAAAAGCTGTTTGCCTCATGTTGGACAGGAAGTAGAGAGGGAAGGGCGGAACCAGGAAGGGAGCTGTACCTGCCAGGTCACGCCCCAGTGACGCACCTCTTCCAGCCAGACCCTCCCTCCTAACAGCAGGTCAGCTGTATCACACCCATAATGCGTTCACCTTTCAAAAGCCCAACTTCTGAGTGCTTGAGCCTTGGGGAGTGGGCACCCAGGTGTAAATCAGAGCACCATTGCTCCCAACGTACACTCAGCCAGCTTCAGCAAGCCCAGATGCCAGTGCTGCATTGTGCTTAGCAACGACAATAGACGTGGTGCAGCTAAGTAGTCACTGATGTTGCATGTGCTTTCTTTCATGCATCCTTCATATATTCTGCAGTGTGATGCTTCTAACAGAGTCAGATGTTGCATACTAGAATGGTTTTTTTTTTTTTTTTTTGAGATTGATTGATTTATTTTGGTAGTGCTGGTTATTGAACCCAGAGAGTGCTGGGCTACATCCCCAGTTCTTTTTACTTTTTATTTTTAGACAGAATCTTGCCGAGTTGTCAGACTGGCCCTGAACTTGGGAAATTCCTATGTCAGTCTCCTAATATAGGATGTCTTGACTTGTACCTCTTCTACATTATATTTTGTCAGTGAATTTCTGTATTATGCCATGTACTGTGTAGGCGCTGAGGTTTCAGTGGGAGGCCATAGTGACACAACCCTAGCGCGTAAGGAATTTGGATTCTGATGGGGCAAGGCAGACACTAAAGAAACACGCAAATAAAAATAATATGATAGTTTCATATTGTAAATATTAAATTGCTGTCTTTGAAATCCTACTTTTATTTCTTGATGACCATGGTATTTTTTTTAATTTGAAGTTTTTGTTTTAGGCTGTTTGTATTTTATGAGAACTTATTTTGCTTGCTTACACTCGTGCTGTTAAGGAACTTCAGAGGGCCTTGTTGCTGTGGAGCCTCTACAATCTGGAATCTAGGCTGAGTTAGTTTCTTCTGTACTTGAGTAGCCAAGGCAGGCTATCTGACCTTGCTAGGGACTGTTATCACCAGGAAATCAGCACAAAGCATTTAAAAAGCTCACAGTCGTAGAAACCTATTTCTTGTTCTTTTATGCCGCTTTCCAGGCCAGTCTGATCCTTACTATCTTATCAGATAAATCTGCAGTCTAGTCTTGGTTAACGTCATGGGCATCTTTTCTTCTTCAGGCTCTTCATCTGGGGAGTGTTAACTAATTCTGACATGTTACATCCAGTAGCTCCCTCTTTTTTGTTATTATTCATCCCATTTTATTTAAATGGAGTTAAGTTTTTATTGGTAAACGTTTGCATTATATAATGTTTACATTCCGTGTGGAGTCGCTGCATGCACATCTTAATTCCTTTTGTCATCCCTTTCCCTCCCCTCCCTCTCTCTTAATCCCCTTCCAATTTGAGAAAGTCCATCTTCTACTTCCTATTATCTGTCTTTTACTTTGCTCTTTATAATTTGGGTACTCATGTAAGAGAAACCACGTAATAATTAAATGTGTGTGTGTGATTTATTTCACTTAACATTACTGTCTCAAGGTGCCTTCTTGGTTGACCAAAAGAATAAGATAATCACACTGTAGCTCATGTGTTGCCCGAGGGCTTTTTCTAAGCATCTGAGTGTTAATGTCCTTTGCCCAGGTCACTGACAGCAATGACTTTGCCTCACCATTCAGTGAGACTTTCTCACAGAGCAATATGACTTTATATTTGGGGAGCCTTTCCTTAAAACTGTGGCCTGTCAGTGCAGTCATCTCTTAAAATAGCACTGCAGAATTGATACAGTATAAGCGCGGGCAGTCTCAGAACAGTGCTTTGCTCACAGTATTGTCTAATATGAACTTGCTCATGTAGGTTTCCTGTCTCCCATGGGGAAAGGAGAATTTATACACAATTGCATGCGTGTCTTCTGTGATAAGTCTGGTTTTCTCTGTTAAGGTGTTCAGCAGACTCTAGGCAATCACATTGTAAGCTCCAAGACCAACTCATACTTCTCATCTACTCATTGCTGTAAAATAATGAGATTAATAACCCAAACCTTGCAGCAGCCATCCTTTCTTCTTGTTGTTTTCCCTTTAGCGGTGATAGAGGATCTGACGTTTCCTGGTAGCTCATTACAATCAATTATATTCTGAGAGTATCTGTGGGAGAAATTATGAGAATTAGTTCTAAAACTTGATTTAATACTGGTTCTGATGGAAAGTTTAGATTTTAGCCTCAGTTTTTTCTTATTAAGTGTATGAACTTGGCAAGTTACTTTTTTGTTCTCATTTAGTAACTGTTATAATATTTGCTCTTATGTCATAGTCTTGCTTACTATGATTCCATGAGTGTTTGTGTGTGTGTGTGTGTGTATATATATATGTATATATATATGAGAAACTGTCAAACATTGAGATGGAATTATAAAATCTGTGGGTGAATTCTTAGTTTGAGAAGTATTGTGTGAAATATGATCTAGCACAGAGGTAGTAAACCTATGACATGTGTGTTGTTTTCTTTATGACAAAAGATACTAATGTATGAATTGTTTTTTCTTCTAAACTAAAATCTCAGTATAATCGCAGTGTTGGTACTTTATGATAAATAAGTGGGTTTGGGTTGAAGTTTGGGCGCTCATCTCTAAAAGGTTTGCCATCACTGACCTGGAAGGAAGAGAACTTACAGTTTTTGCTGTGCCAGCTGTCACTTTTGCAAATAATAATTTCAAGATAATAGCGCTGGGGAGCAAAATGGCATCAGTTGAATTTGTAATGTTTTATTCTTGGGAAAGAAGTGTAAAGCAAAAGCAGCCAACTATTAGCATAATAACGAGCACATGTGTGTTTATTAGATAATTCTCTGAAAATTAACTCAAATATTTTACATCTTAAAAATACCCTTTTGCCAAGATGAAATGTTTCAGTTAATATGCTTACGGAGAGAATCATATATAAACCTTAATATCAGTTTCATGAATGTGAAGAGTTTCTACATATTTTAATAGGTAAGAGTTTTTTTGCAGTCAAAGTTTATTATGTTACTTTTTATTTCCACAGGTTTATAAAGTTCTAGTCTCTGTGGGCAGGAGTGAGTGGTTTGTCTTCAGGAGATATGCAGAGTTTGACAAACTTTACAACACTGTAAGTAATAGTAAGGGTTTCTGTTGAAAACAAAACACTGGGGAAAATCCCAAAAGAAGATTTATTTGAATGATTAAAATAAAACTCCATATATAAAGAACACAGAAAAGGGATTCTTCAGAAGTATCCTAACTTTGGAATTCTTACATAAAAGGATGGAGATAGGACTGTTGCGCAGTTCCCCATAAGCCGTGGAAAAAGAGAGCTACACGAACAGCTCAAAGTACTTTTTTTTTTTTTGGTTACCAGGAGTCGAACTCAGGACCTTGCACTTGCCAGTCAGGCATTTGTGCGCTGAGCTGTATCCCCGGCCCTCAAAGTATATTTTATTATCATTAAGTATTAGAAATAAATCTTTTCATCATATTTCTGGCTAAACTGCCCAAGTGTAAGCTTTAGATCTGAAAGACTGTCATGAGCTCACTCTCCTTCTGCATTTCACTCTTAGTTAGAGATAGGTCTTCGCATCTGTATTATAAGTAGCTAACACAACTGAAATGATTGTTGACTTTCTAACAGTGACCTATGGGTGGGGGTTGGGTGTGAAGAAAGAGACCATTAGATGACTGAATAACTAAAGCCAATACATACATATATACGTATACACATTACTCAGATATTAAAGATATTAATAATCTGGTGTCTCTAGTCGTATGTACAGTACTTTCTAAAGGAGGCAGAGAGACCCCAAGCGCATTCTGATTCTTCAGGCCTGGTCTCACCCGGTGAACGAGGCCAAAGAATGCCTCAGAGTTAGTTTTTACAGAACCCCAGGTGAGGACAGCTCTGGGTTTGAAGCTTTGCTTAAGTTAAATTAAAGAAAAAGTGCCCGATGTAGTGACTGAGAGTTGCCTCAGACTCAAGGCTAACCTGACCTACATAGTGAGTTCAAGACCAGCCTAAACTGCATAGTGAGTGAAACCTTCTTTCAAAAAGCCAAAAGAAAAAAGTAAAAAGAAATTGTACCTTAAATGCCATTATTAAGTTCCTTGTGTTCTCATATAATAAATAGTGCTGTCCAATTTAATGAATGGTAGATTATTAGGCATCTTTTGGATAAATTCTGTTGTATATTGGGGTGTGTTTGTTTTTCATTTTTTAACACTGTCTCCTGATTTTAAAAAGAAGGGTACATAGATACATAAATCTGTAGACGATCATTTGTTAACTTTCTGTATATGAAGGAAATGAAGAGCTTATCTCCATTAAATATTGTCTGGCTACAGTACTACTTCTGTGGGGTTTTGTTGTTGGGGTTTTTTTGCGGGGGGAGGGTAACCTTGAACTCACTAGTTGTGATTCTCCTGCCTTAGGCTCCTAAGTGCTAGGATTACAGTTTATATGTTTTGTGTTAAACTTCTGATTCATTTTATTTAGGATTTCACTGTATTTGTTCCAAGTGAAATTTAAATCACTTGCTAAGGGGAATTAAACTTTAAAAATATTCCACAATTTCATTTCATTTTGCTTCACTTCACTTGAACACTTTATTTTATATTTTTTATTTGTTTACTTATTTACTTACTTACTTAATTTATTTATTTTTTGAGGCAGGATTCCACTGTGTAGTACAGGCTGGCCTTGAACTTGTTTATGTAGCCCAGGCTGGCCTTGAACTCACGGGTGATCCTCCTGCCTTAGTCTCCTGAGTGCTGGTATTATAGGCATGCACCACCAGGCCTGGCTTATTGTACTTTTAAAATGATGTTTATGTGTTCCTATGTAAAATCAGTAATGTTCTAGAAAATCTGAATAACAGAAGAAAATAAAAGTAGATTAAATGTAAAAATTACCCACAATGTTATATTCAAATAACTGTTACCATTTTGCTGTTTTTTTCTATTCTTTATTTTTTTTTTTGTTTGTTTGTTTGGGTTTTTTTTGTTTTTCTTCTGGTACCAGGAATCAGACTCACGACTTTGCGCTTGCCAGGCAGATGCTGTGCTGCTGAGCTAAATCCCCAGCCTCTGTTCTTTATTTTTTTAATGTATATAGAACTGAATGTACTATATATAGTTTTAAATATTGCATAATCAAATGCTATTGAAATAATCCTTTTTGAGTATAAGTGAAGTCACATTTGCAAAATGATAGCCAGTAAGAGAGGAAATGTACGGTTTTAAGAGGCTGGGTGAGTGTTAATGGTTAGTTCTCTTTAAAGCAATTGAGTACCCATTATCTACATGTTAACCTTTTATTTTTAATATACCTAGGTTATGCTTAGGTAAAAATGACATGTCAATAAAATTACACATATACACGTACACACAGTTTATATGACCTTCTTAAGTTTTGTTCAGTGAAGCCCTCATAACTGAAATTTAAAGCCTTCTGTATTTTGCTTAAAAGACTTTATAGGGTAGATTTACCTTCTAAACACCTTTTGTGGGGAATATAGGGAAGAGACATGGAGAATATCATCTAAAAACTCAGCAGAGTAGAGATCCATATTAGTGATGGGTGTTCATAATGGCTTTGTGACTTAAGTAGCTGGTGATTAATTAGGTGGATTGAATATTTTTACCCATAAATATAAAGTAGGAAAACTTGTTCAGGCTTATCTCTCCCCATGAATACTTTCATCTGTCTTTCATGAAATATTCCATTTTTAAACTTCTTGCAGAAACACGTCCTTAACATGTAGCTCAATTTTTATCATCCATTTTCTGCATTTCTCTAAACGTTCATTTTTTCCATATTTCACTATTTTCTGTGTCTGACTTTCAAGTGCATACAACTTTAAAATAACATTACAATTTTCAAATTATTATTATATGTAATACAAATTCTGCTTCAAGGTGAAGAATAAAAAGAGGATTAGAGAATGAGATTTGTGATCTTTGAAACTACAATTCAGGTTAAACCTGAATTTTTCTAAGTTGGAAACATGAAATCTTTCCCTGTGTGGTTCCTTTAAAATAAAAGACAAAAGATTTCTAGTATGTAAGCATTTTAATTGCCAGCTTGTATGTGTGTTTTATGGCCATGGTTTATATTTGTAACTTTTTATTGATAGAAGTTTTCAAATGCACAAAGAAGTAGACAGACTAATACAAATACAGAAAGTAATGTAATACTTAGCAGCCAGCTTCAATTGCTGAGAGAAGACAATTTGTTTCACCTCTGTCCCCAGCTAGCCCATCATAATTTTGGCCCAAATCTTAGATATCATGTCGTTTCATCTGTAAATATTTTAGTATGTATCTCTAAAAGATAAAGAGTCTCAAAAACAAAACATTGACACAGTATCATGAACACATCTGAAAGTAAACTAACAGAAATGCCTTTAATATCAGATATCTGGTTACTGTTTATATGACTGGTTGATAAAGTATTTTAAGCATCTTTCGATCACTCAGTTTCTCCCGCACATCTCTTCCCGTTACAGTGCAGGGTGTGTGTGCATACATGTGTGTTTAAAAAAAAAAGGATCCTTTGATTAGAGATTTTTAGTCTGGGTTTTACTAATAGCATTTCCATGATATACAATATGAATACATTCTTCTATTTTTTATAAGTCCTACCAGTTGCTCGTTAGAGCCATGTTTATATGTGTATATATAAAAACTATAGTATACACTTAAAAACTATAGACATGTAGTTCTATGTGTTATAAGCATGGATTGCATTTATAATAAAAGTACAGCCATTTTTATGACTTCTCCAAATTTATTTTATTCAGAGCCAAATTTACCTCTCAGAAAACAAGAAAATCTAAATATCCTACAAACAAGTATTTTAGGATATTAATAAAGGGAAGGCTAACTTATGGGCCAGGGATATAGCTTAGTGGTGCAGCACCTACCTGGCAAGCATGAGGTCATGAGTTCAATTCCTGATACCATACAACAACAAAAAACAAAAAACCCCAAAAGTTAATCAGTTTTTTCAGAAAACTGTTAACAAAAAGCATTGTCAGTCTATTCCTGTCAAGAGAACACAGCATATCTGTTCTTGGGGTAATAAATGATGAGTGAGTTTAGCCACACAACAAATAAGATCCTTGCTCCGATTTTATAGGTAAAAAACCTGAGGCTTAGAGATTACTAAATTACTTATCCAAGGTCACACAGATACCAAGTGTTTTATTGGAACCAAATATGATGATTAGTCGGTCTCTGGTATGTTGTTGGTATAATTAAATACTATACATTGTATGATCATATATTTAAAAGCATGACTTATGAATTTTTTTAGTATCAGATTGTATTAGGTATAAGTGCCTGCGTAACTAGAAGCCTTGTAAAGTTCATGTCATACTATTTTTAAAAACTCTAGTTAAAGAAACAGTTTCCTGCTATGGCTCTGAAGATTCCTGCCAAGAGAATATTTGGTGATAATTTCGATCCAGGTAAGAAATATTTACATAGACCTACTGTTAAGTGATGGTCGAAGTTTGAAGGTAATTAACATATTCATTGCACTGTATATAAGACTTCTAAGGAAAATAGAATACAGTTAGGTTCATTAATTTGCCCACTGACAAATTCAGGCAGTAAATGGCACTTTTGGAAGTTAAAATGAAGTGGTCATCTTCAGATAAATTTATTAATCATTATAGATCATTTGAGATAATTTCCCAACATTAAACTGGTACCATGAAGGACATTCATGCTTTAACTGAGTAACTGTTACTAAATATATACTCTGTGCCCAGCAACCTGTAGGTCTCTGTATGGGATTCCTAAAAGTTTTCCTGTTGTTCACTCTTGGAGAGCCTAGTGACAGAAAGTCTCAGGAATCTAGAGCCCTGTGTGTTTGGAAGCTTCAGTTCTGGAACTTGCCCCAGAATCCAGGTGCTACCTTACACACCTCCTTTCTTGGTCAGTTAAGCATTCTTTGTTCTTCCTCTAACTTTATATCATTCCTTTCCCTCCCAGACTTTTTCACTTTGCCCATAATTAACAAGCTTCTCCTTATCCAGTATCTCTTTAATATTTTTTTCATATTCTTGCTTTAATTAAAATGTAACCCCCCTCCCCACCTACTTCTGTTGATCTTCTTCTCAACTGGAGGTTCTTTTATTCCTTATACTTTATGAACCTGGGGATTATAGAATATTCTTATTTTCTCTGTTATATATGGAAATTTTTTCTCTTGAGAGAATGAAAGCATACTTCATTGTATTTGCTAATCTGTCTTATTAGGCTGTAGATTTAATGAAGGGGGACACTGACTTACTGTTTTTTATAGTATTTACCAAATACTAGGTTTTAAAGTGCTAAGTACATGGATCCATTAATAAAGAGAAGCAAGGGAAAATTGAGTTGGTACAACAGAACCAAATTATAGATTCTAATTGTTTCTGTGGACTAGTGACTTTTGTACTCTTGTTTTTAGCTGCAAAACAATTTTTCCCCCAAGTGGCCTCTTATTTAAAAAAAGTATGTGAATCAAATAATGACAGAACTGTGTTGTTGGTGCACAAGTGAAATATCTCCTTAGAGCACAGGTTGAAAAGCATCATCTGGGCAGCGTGTGGGCCTCACTCCAGCCCTCACTTGAGTGAGGTGGTGACGGGATGGGAAGGAAGCAGGGTATGACGTACACAGTAGACACAGCAGAGAGGAGACCATGTAGAGCCACGAGACTGATGAAGGGAACATTCCAATGGTCATGGTACCCGATAAGCAGCACCAGGACTAGAGTTGAAATGGGGTAAAAGATGAGCCCTGTGTAAGAGCTCTTCAAATGAAAACACTGAGAAATCTTGGTAATTACTTAAGTAAAGGAGACACATAGAAAAGAAACCAGCGATAATTGAAGTGTCTTTTCAGTGGGTGATTGAGAGAATTGAGTACTGTGAAGTGGTAGAAAGACTCAAGAATAAATCTGCATGTTAGTGATAATAGGAAACTTGAACTTGCTCTAGAGTTCTGTAGAGTCCTTTGAATCCTCGAGGCTGAATCATTTCATCAGGAAAGAAGGAAAAGAAAAAAAAAAAAACCTACAACATTTTTAAATACAAAATGCCGAATTGTCCTGTAGCGCTTAGTTTTGATGAGTTTAGTATTTGACATTACAATTGATTTTTGTAAAAGAACCATTTGAAATCTGTCCTAAGCATGTTATATAAGACTTGTCAACAAAGAAACAGATTGTACGTCACAGAGGTTGTGGAAAACCCTGCATTGGGGAAATCAAATCTAAGTCATACTCACAAATTCAAGGATGCATAAGATGCTTGTTTGGTTATTAATCTTTGGGAAACAAGTGTCTTAGTAGTTTGCTGTTGGGAATGCAAAATGGTACAGTCATTGAGAGGAATTTGCTAGTAAGTTTTTTTGACCAAGAAATAACAATTTCTAGGAGTCTATCTCAAAGATAAACTGATATACACTCAAGGCTGTAATTTTATGACATAATTTTTAATAAACACAGAAAAACTGAAATAACCTTCCTGGGTTAAAATGCATCATAGCTGTAGAAAGAAAAAAACTCTTAATGTATTACTATAGTGTAGTCTCCAGTATATATTCCGTGGAAAAAAACAAGGTGCAGATAATTTGTATAATGTATTTTTTTTTGCATAGGAAACTGAGAATTCAAAGGGAAATAATGAAAGAATAAATAAAAATATGGAACTAGTGATTTAAAGAGGAAGGAGAAGCCCAAAGGAGGCAGTAGTGGTGAAAATTATATGCACCCAAAACAATCGTGCTTATAGTGTGGCTTTGACTTTGGGACCATGTACACGTTTTACATAATTAAAAAAAAATGCAGTAACAGAACAGACTTCAACAGTATTTTTTTTATTCATTCACAAGCATCTGTTGAGTATCTTCCAAGATACAGTACTATGTTGATGGCTAGAGATAACATTTTTTTTGTAAATCATGATGCTTGCTTTCAACAGTTTGAGACTACTTTTATCTCTTAATTTTAAACCTCTGCATTTTTTAACCTCTACTCATATAAATTCTTGGAGGAGTCATAAGAAGTACATAGATCTAACTTCAAAGATAATATGTCAGCCTTATATAAATTCTTGCTATCTCTCACAATGGGCTGGAGCACATTTTTGTCTGGCCTGGAGTTTTTTCCAGATACTTACATGCTTAATGTTAATCTAAAAACTAAATTTGAGGGCTGGGGATTTAGCTCAGCGGCAAAGCGCCTGCCTGGCAAGCACAAGGTCGTGAGTTCGGTTCCCGGTACTGGAGAAAAAAAAAAAACAATTTGGCATTGCCCCTAAATTCTGATTACTGTTGGACTTGTTATTTCCTATTTCTTTTTCTTTTCTTCTTATATAGGGCTTTACATAGCAATTAAAAAATTAATTTAAAATAGAAATGAAAAGTCTCCTAGCACTTAGCATAGCTTTGCCTATGTAGCTCACTGAAGAAAGGAAATTCCTGGTTTTTTTCTGGTCTGCAAAGTAAAATGTTTCTTTTTTTTTCTCAAAATAGAATGTTTCTTTAATAAGTATCAATAGCTGCTTCTATATACTGTAGATTTCCTTTTAATATTACTAATGTGGCCATTTATTCTAGTTCTTCGTCATAAATTACTAAATCCATTTCCTGGGAAATATGTTTCAAGTAGTTTTAAAAAATGTGTATTTTTTGCAATGCTAGAGATTGAACCAAGGGTGTCACACATCATAGGTAAATACTCTGCCACTGAGCTACATTCCTAGCCTCCAAGTACAATTTTTAGAGTAAGCCTCACACTTTGCACGAAAAATGTTCTTGGAAGAGTTTTTTAAGATACCTACTTGAAATTCTTCAAGGAATTCATAGTTCAACAAGGTGTGCACCTGAATCCCAGAGACTAGACCTAATTTTTTATTTGTTCTGTAATAGCCATACCTTACATTTAAGAAATGAAAACAAGCCATATGACTCCATCATTTTGGTAGTAAACACTATATTTTCATGTTATTGAGTAGTGTATTAGTCATGTTTCCTGTCTGCTATGCTCTATGTCTGGATGTCCCCTCAGCCTCATGTACTCAGAGGTGGGGCTTGTAGAAGGTGATTGGATAATGGAAGTGCCATAGCTGGCCTGATGTTAGGAGGTGGGATCTGATTAGAAGAGGATCACGGGGGGGCATGAATGAAATGGTGTATCTTTCTCTGGCTTGTCCCTCCTCTCCGATTTCTGGCGGCCCTGATGTGAGTAGCTTTTCCTCCACTCTTGCCCTCGGCCATGCTATCCCGCCTTGGAGCCAGTGGACTGTGGACTGAAATCTCTACAGACTGAGCCCAAACAAACGTCTCCCCCTCTTAAGTTGTAGGTGGCGTTTACTGTGTTGTGTCTTATGATGAGAAAGTGACTCAGACACTTGCTGGGACACAATACTTGACAAGGTAAAGAGGAGAGGGTAATTTTGGCTCATAGTTTGAGTGGATTCAGTCCATGGCCAGCTGTCTCCAAGGCAGAAATATCACGGCAGGAAAAAACTCACTCATCACAGAGTGGACAGACCGGGAAGCATGGAGAGAAGGGAGGAGCTGGGGGCAAGAGTATACCCTGCCAGGTCACCCCCAGTAATCTGCCTCTTTTGACCAGGCCCCACCTCCTAACGCTGCACTCACTTATGAACTCAGCAAATGGATCATAGCACCCCTATGATTCAGTCATCTACCATAAGCCTCACCTCTGAACATGAGACTTCTGGGGGACATTTTAGATCCAGACCATAACCTTCCACTCCTGGCCCTCAAAAGGCTTGTATTCATTGTATTATGATGTAGTCATAAATAGATGTAGTCCATCTTTAAGAATTGTCAGACTCTTCACAGTTGTACCATCATTAAAAATTCTAAGTCCAAAGTCTCCTCTGAGCTGGGCGTGTTGGCGCATGCCTGTAATCCCAGCACTCAGGAGACTGAGGGAGGCTGAGGTAGGAGAATTGTTGTAAGTTTGAGACCAGCCTCGGCTACAAAGTGAGCTCAAGGCCGGCCTGAACTGCATAGCCAGACCCTGTCTCAAAAAGACAAAAACAAAAGAAAACCAGTCTCCTCTGAGACTCGGCTTAAGCAAACTGTTTGTTGTATCCTCTGTAAAAATAAAAAAAAAAATCTGGCACCAGGTAAACATTTCCATTGTGAAGTATAAGAACAGGGGACTAGATAGAAATCAGACCCAAATAAGATAAGAACCCAGCAGGGTAAACATTAAACAGTGTGGCTGCATGTCTAGCACCGAGGGTAGGGTGTGGTAAGATGAGACCTTTAAAGGGCTTTGGCAGCCCTGCCCCTAAGGCTTTGCTGGTTGCAACTGACATGGCTTCTCTCTTAGGGTAGTTCTGCTCAGTTCCTGTGATTTTCTTCAGCAAATGTTCCAGGTTCCTGGCATCTCCACCTTCCAGGGTCTTCACAGCACCGTTACCTTCTCTCTCATAGCTTTACACACTGCTTTGTCATGGGCTCTTGGCAAGAACTGTGACCCTATCACACATTTTTGCCTGGTCTCCAAGGTCTTTTACTGACATCTTGGTGGAAGCCTCTGTGAGCCCCTAACTCTTGGCATTGTCTATGTCTGAGAAGTAACACCAGGTGATTAAGGCCAAAGTCTGCTATAGTCAGGCCCCCTTGAGCCATAGACAGGCCTCCTTGGATCATGGCTGCAGCAGCCTCTGAGTACCTGAATTGTTGAACACCACGAATCCCAAGGAACAAATTCCCTGGGTGGCTTTTTTCAGTAGGATGCCTGATGCTCCCTTCTCAAAGCAGAGGTTACACTTTGCACATCTGAGCCTATGATGGGTGAGGTTTTACTAATTCCTGAGATGCCCTCAAGACATTGTTCTTCTTGTTCTGGTACAAAGTACTTGACTAATCTTTTTCAGCAACCATACTTTCCTTTGCCCCAACTTTGGCTTTCCTTTCTGGCAAAACTGCAAACTTTTCAGATTATGAATCTCTGCCATTTGTTCCTGATTCTTACTGTAGATACAGCTGAAAAGGAGCCAGCAGTATCCATGCAACAGCTTAGATATTGGGCTGCCTTGAAATTTCCATCACCGGATTACTCTATCATGCTTAATCTCAATCTTTCAAAAATTTTCAGGACATGAGCAAAATGTTGACAGATTTTCTGCAGAGCCTCTATTCTAATTGCCAATGGAGAGGCATTGTTTCCAGCTGAAACAGGAGCCTGACCTTTATTGTCTGCATTCCTGTAAGCATTCTGGGCTTCTGAGCTCTGACCGGTATTACACATCAAGCGCTGCTTACAACATTCTGGGGCTTCTCTAGCTGACCTTTCAAAAACTTTCCAAATTCCTCCCACAAAGCCGAAAGTTTCTAAACCACTTGTTCAGGTACAGTCACAGCAATGTTTGCACCCTCAGGACCAATTTGCTGTAGTAGTCAGCTTTTCTGTTTCTGGAACAAAATACTTGACACCCACAGCTTAAAGGAGAAGTTTATTTTGGTTTACCATTTCAGTTAAATCCACCGATGACTATAGTACCCCTGTCATCTAATCACCTTCTAAAAGCCTCCCTCTGAACATGAGACTTCCAGGCGGCATTTTAGATCTAAACCCCAAATACAGTTGAATTTCACTAAATCAAAACTCATTAAGTAGTATATTGTTTATAAGTATTTATATAGTTGTATCCATTAACAGTCACTTTCTCAAGTTACCTGTGTCTTCAATTTTTAGAATATATTTTTTAAGAATTAGGGTTTAGGATGATAGCTTTATGACCCCATAACAATGAATGACAGTAAAAATGATGATAATTAATGATTTATTCTGTTATCATCTGCTTGACATTTACAAATTTACATGGATTATCTCATATAGTCCTATAACTGCATTATGAAATGTAAATATATTGTCATCCATATTTTACTTAAAAGGAATTATGTTTTAGAAAATTTGAAGATCAGTTAGTGAATAACAGAGATAAGATATTTGAGTAAGATTTTCTAATTCCAACAAATGTTTATGCTTAACATTTCTTGCTAAGTAGTGTAAGCCTGTTGCCAAGCAAAACACTTTGAAAAAGCTGTCATTCTTTTTTAGAAAAGAGTGCCCGTGCATTTCTAACAAGCTTTAATATTATTCAGTTAACCAGTTAGCATTTCTAAACTATAAAGGATTTCTGCTAATTCTTGTTTTTTGATTGGTTTTCTTTTTAGTATGGTTTTTCAATCATAAGTGTTGTTTTGTTAAATGTTACTCACTGTCTGGTGGTACGTAAATGTTTAGACAGAGCACAGTACCTCTCCAAGATTTGTATTGAGTCTGTCTAGAATCTACAATAGGCAGGCTTTTTGTTTTTTTTCGTTTTTGGGGGTTGGCCCCCGGGTGGTTATACATGCTAGACAAGTGCTCTGTCCTATAGTCCCAGCCATCTTTATTTTTAAAGACAGGTTGTTGCTAAATTTGCCAGGCTGGATTCCAATTTGTGGTCCTCTGACCTCCCAAGGAGCTGGTATTAGAGGTGTGTACCAATGTGCTCAGCTAAACTAGGCAATGTTTTTAGAATTTTCTTTGGATGATGTATTTGCTTTATTTAAATTTTTAATCTGTCCATCTCTATATTAAAGTATTTATTCTTATATGGCAAGGAATATGAATTAAGAAGTAGCCTCTTAATTATAATATACTAACTTTTGTTTGTATATGCTTATATAAAGGTTTTGAAGAAAATTACATTGGCTGACAAATAATAATAATTTACATCCTCTCTTACAGATTTTATTAAACAAAGAAGAGCAGGACTGAATGAATTTATTCAGAACTTAGTTAGGTATCCAGAGCTTTACAACCAGTAAGTAATTTTTGTTGTAATCTAAATCTAAGAATATTGTGAAACCAAATATAAGAATATTGAATAAATCTAGTACAGATTTATCCTTTTTGTGAAATGCTATTTTTTGGTTTCTTTTTATTAGTACATGTGCGTGATATTTATACTCCTTGTGAGGAGTTGGTATAGTACATAATATATCTTAATTCCTTTTTCATTCCGTTTCCCTTATCTTCCTCCCAAAAAAACGGGTCCTCTGCCTTTTTTGTGTGTATATGTTTGCAGTACATGTTTAAATTCCTTATGTGGAGTTGGTACATGCACATACGCATTTTAATTCTTTTTTCATCCTGTATTCCTCTCCTCCATCTCTTGGTCCCTTTTCCTTTTGAGAAAGATCTGTCTCCCTGCTTCCTGTTGTGTTTCTTGTATTTTACTTTTTATTTGTACTTTGGGTTTTTCATATGAGAGAAATCGTTTGATATTTAAGCTTATGTGTCTGATTTATGTGAAACGCTGTTGTGCTATATATATTAGTAAAACTTCCTGGAGCATTTCCCCCTTATATTCTTTATCCTCTTTTGCCTCTTCCTTTCATAATTGTTTTTTTTGTTTTTGTTTTTGTTTTTTTTTCCCGGTACCAGGAATCGAACTGACGACCTTGCACTTGCCAGGCAGGCGCTGTTCCGCTGAGCTAAATCCCCAGCCCCTATAATTGTTTTATAGATTAAATCTGAAAGAAATTTGCATAATATAGTTAAAACATTGTGCTGATCATTTGATACTTACCTGTGCCTTCAAAAAACATTAAGTGCCTCCTATGAGCACTTTATTCTGATTTTATTACAGAGTAACTTACAGACAAGTACCCATACCATGACCGCACAGCTCAGTGAGTTATAGGGTAAACACACTCAAGTTATCGCCCACTCCCTCAGACCAGGAAACAGACAGTGACATACTCGGGTCCCAGAAGCCCCTCTCACATCCTTACTCAGCCTCTGTTCTGTTTTTCCTTTCCAAAGGTAACGCTTCTGACTTTAACGAATGTGCCGTTTTTCAGCTTCATATGCAGTTGTGACTGTTGGGATTGTCATCTTGATGAGACTGAGCGATACCCAGCAGATTAGTAAAGCACCCTTCTGGCTGTGTCTGAGTCCGTCACGGGAGTGTGACCTCGGCACTGTGTCTGCCCTTTCCTTTCTGGCACTGTTCCTCATTCCACTACTGGCTGCCGTGAACTGAGCCACTTTGCTCCACGATTCTCTTCTGCCATAGCATTTCTTGCGTGGAAACCGCTGAGTGGGGACTAAAGCTGTGAGATCATGAGCCAGAATAGCGCTTCTAGGCCGTGGGTTCTGGGCATTTTGTCCCAGCAATGACTTTTGTCTCGGTTACTTTTCTCTCGTTGCTGGGACAAAATACCCAACGCCCAAAATGAAGGAAGGAAAGGTTTATTTAGCTTACAGTTTGTGGAGGTTTCAGTCCATACTTGGCTGGCTCCGAGGCAGAAGGTAGCAAAGCAACAAGAGCAAAGGGGGGAATGGCAGCTGAACAGCAAACAGCCAGAGCAAAACAGAGGAACGGCTGCAAGCAGCTGTTTTTTCCCTGCCTTACTTTGTAAACAGGCTACCCCCACCTAAGGGGTGTGTAGCTCTCTCATAATCTCCATGCCCTCCTCTTCCACAGGCTCAGGATGTATACAAAGTAAGCACCCTGGCTTCCTGCTGAGTCACTTAGCCAAACCTCTAGACTCCCCAAGTTGACACAATGTATCAACCATAACAACTTTACCACAGTTCGTTCAGTTCTACATTTGAATTAACTTTAATTTTCGTGCTCTTCTTTTGAACTTCAAAAAATTGATGCATATCACTAGAAATGCATATTTGATTTTCAGGAGAGATTTTTAAAGTGAAAATTACTTGGTCTGAATTACTTGAAGCCTTCAAATACAGTCCGTTGAAAAAGATTCCCAGGAAGGCTATGCCAGTTTATATTCTACTAACACCCTATGAATGGATATCCTGAAGGCTCTTCCAGCCTTGGTTGGCATAATACTAGAACATTTAGCATTTTCAGGAGCGTCTTTCAAAAAGTGTGTAGCTATTGTGATTACTACTGCGACTGACATCTTCTGATGAACACGTGCAAACACTTCTGACGTTTCTAGGTGGTAGGATGTGTATATGTTTAAACCTAGGAGATAGGACCAAATTATTTTCTAAAACGATTGCCAGAATTCATACTATCATTATCAGTGTATGAACCCACATTGTTTCACCGACCACTTAGTGTTGTTAGTCTTACAATTTTAGCTATTCAGATGAAAGAGTAGTGGTTTGTTACTGTTTTGTTTTGGGTGTTGTTTTTTTGTTTGTTTTGTTTTGTTTTTTGGGACATGGTCTTGCTATGTAGTCCAGGCTGGCTTTGAGCTATGTAACACAGGCTAGCTTTGAACTCACAGCAGTCCTCAAACCTCCGTCTTCTGAGTGCTGGGATTACAGGTGTGTGCCACCAAACTCGGCTTCTTATTGTTGCTTTGTGTTTCACTAATTACTGGTACAGTTGATCAAAGGTGTTAATATGAAGTTATTTATATCATTATTAGCATTTAATGCTAAACAAGGCTAGAAGAGTCTTCATGATGTTCATATATACTGCTAAGAGAAAATAAATAGCTTCCCTAGAAATCAATTTTAACAGACTATATTTGAAGCCTTAAAATGGTTGATAATGCAGACCAAGTAATTTTAAAAATCTGTCCTGAAAATCATAAATGCAGTTGTACTGTATGTGCAGATTAATGGTTCTAGTTGTAGTAGTGAAAGTTAGATGGTTAGAAGTTGGAAAGTGACAGTTCATAGTTTTTTAGTATATTCACAATACTGTACACGCATCATTACTGTCTAATTCTGTCTCCCAAGTTTAATCTAGCATTTCTAGAAGTGATGCCTCCAAATTCTCTTTTCCTCCGATGCTTGGCAACCAGCAGTCTACTATCAGTCTAAAGCTTTCTTGTTTTGGACTCTGTGTTTAAAGTGAAGTTATAGAAAATGTAACTTCTTTCTTCTTTGGTTCATTCAATATGTTTTTGAGGTTCACCCTTGTTGTTAACATGTATCAGTATTTTATTTTATGACTGAATAATATTCCAGAGCTGGGCATGGTGGCGTACGCCTGTAATTCCAGCACTCAGGAGACTGAGGTAGGAGGATCATTCCAAGTTCGAGACCAGCCTGGGCTACAAAGTGAGCTCAAGGCCAGCCTGAGCTGCATAGCGAGACGCTGCCTCAAAACAAAATAATAGTAATAATATTACTTTAATATTATTAAATAGTATAAAATAATATATTTATATTATATTATTTAGTATAAAATAATACTAATAATATTACTACAAAAATAATAGGAATAATAATACTCCATTGTATTAATATACCACATTTTGTTTATGTATTTATCAGCCAATGGACATCTGGGATGTTTCTACTTTTTGGCTGTTTTGAATAATTCTCTTACGCTTATTTCATGGATGAGTGTTTGTGTGAATGTTATTTCTCCAGGGTGTATACTTAGGAGCAGAACTACTCCACAGTAAGCTTTTTGAAGACTGCAGATTTTTGTAGTACCTGCACCATTTTGCATGCACACCAGCCTTCCCCCTTGAGAAAATAATTTTTCACCTTTGAATTTTTCTATATTATTTGTATTGAATCATTTAGAATAATTCATTGTAGAAGTACCAGATACACCAATTTCACCGTTCCTCAGGATTGTCATTAGTCCACACACAATCCTTTCTAATTTTAGTCCATTTTTAGTCTCTTCATCTTACATCTTTGTACTCACTTTTCTGTTGCCACTGTGGATACCTACTTTAATATGTTTGGGAACTTGATATCCCTGTATCTTTGAAAACTTCAGACTACTTTGTCTGTATTTAATATACACAGAGATGGTACTGTGCTGTGGCTGTTCTTGTTTTCTGGCTGCTGACTGGCGCCCTCTATAGGCAGCTACCCATGGCTGAGTTACTCATTTTCCTGGTGGTAAATTTCTATTTTGTCTCCAATTCACTGCTATAGAATGCTGCAAGTGTCCTGGTTACATGCCTTTCACTAGAACTTTGCATAATTTTTTCGGTAGTTTGTAGAATTAGAATTTTTTGAGGTCCAGGAAAAATCCATACACCATTCCTCTAAGAATTTCCAGATTACTTTTCAGAAAAGCTATTTAATTCTTCATTCTCACCAGCAACATATGAGGGTTTCTTTTTTCCCATATCCTTACTAGCTTTTGGTATTTAAAACTTTTGCCAGTTGATGGACATAAAGTGGTAACTCACTGTCGATGTAATTTGCCTTTCTCTGCTTGCCAGGGAAGTTAGCATCTTCATAAACTTACTTGTTACTTGGGTTTGTCTCCTGTCAACTCTGTTTATTACACCTTCATCTATTTTCTGTTTGGTTCCTTTTTTTTTTTTTTTTAAATGCTTATTTCTTTTAAAATAATATTAATGCATTTTGTTTAGGTTTTTTACTATACATGCTAATATTGTGGTTTTGTTTTGATTTCATTTTAAAAGGGAGAAAAGCTGTAGATGTGATTTTATATCTTAATAAAGGTAACTTTTGCTTTTAGTCCAGATGTTAGAGCATTCCTTCAAATGGACAGCCCAAAACATCAGTCAGACCCATCTGAAGATGAGGATGAAAGAAGTACCCATAAGGTAGTAACAACAGTTGTACTTTTTACAGAAAAAATACCATTCCCCAAAGATAAAAGAAGTTACTGAGGAAAGTATTTGCTTAAAATGAAGTGATTTCATTTGTAGGAGATTTTCTACTTTGTAAAATATCAAAAAACCACGTACTGATCAGTATTTCTTACAAAGTTTATAAAATTCATAAAATTACCACTTTTATGATGAAAAATGTAAAAGAAAAATTTGAAAGTAGCAGATAAGAAGGCAAGTATTAAGTATTACCCATGTTGCTACCACCTAAAACTAGTAATTTTTAGCCTTTGAACGATTTTTCTTTCCAATATCCTCTTAATGTATAGGATTTTAAAGTTATCCAAATTATGTAATGTATATAGTTATACATTCTCCTTTCCTTAAATCTTATACATTTGTTTTGAACATTGTATTTCTTTATCATTATCACCATACCTGAAACCATTGTTTTGAACTTTGGTCAAGAAAGTCCCTTTCAGGAGAGGGGATTGGGGGGAAAAAAGGAATCAAAATATACCATGTGCAGGTACCAATTCCCTGTGATGAATTGATCATGATGTATATCTAAAATGGACCAATAAGCTTCACTAAGTAGAAAAATAAAATCCTTGACCACAATTCCATCCTTATATGTCACTTAATTAGAAAATTGTGCACCGTTATCCTAAGAAGTGTTCATTGATTTTTTTAAATCGTCCTGCTTTGTACTTTCCATAGTTTTCTAATTCATTCCTTACGACATAAAATGGGAACTTTAAGAATATCACCCTTATTCTATAAGTGCTGAAGTGCGGATAGGGAGATAAAATGATTTACTAAGACTTCACACTTACTAACCGAAGGAACAAGAGTTAAAACCCAGTCTGTCTGACCCATATTTGTTATGCATAGCTATTAAGTGATGACATCTTTGCAATAGTATTTCGGGCTTTTAATGGATAAAAAACAACAAAACAAAATTTAATTCTTCATTACATTTTATCAATACATTCTTGGAGATCCAGATGTTAGATATCCTGAAAATGTCACAAAGTGATGAGTCTTACTCCCTGTACAAAGTGTCTGCATTTGTTAGACAAATGACAGTAAAAACAACAGATACGTGGAACATTTAGATTGCACCTCCACTGATACAAAAGTGTCAGCATTTTATGTGGCAGATACAAGGGAATAAAAAGTAACCTTTCAGATCGAATATTATTTCAAAGTTATTTTATTTAGATCATCACCAACATGATTGTCTTTCACTTCTTTATATGTTGACAGAATTAATGCCAGTGAGTGTACTTGAAAATCAAGAGTTTGGTAGCATAGGAAATATCTAAGAAAGAAGGAAGCCTGTTCATATATCCTAGATTTATTCAAAACTGTTCTTTGCAGAAAGGTATCTTATGTGTGTGCAGCTCACACTGCAAAGTATATCTAAACATATTTTGAGATAGAAAACATGACCTGTGCTTGCACGTCCACTACGAATTTGTGTTTGTGTTACACTGGGCGAGTGGTTTTCCTATATGATCACTTTTGTCTTCTATGAAACTATGGATGAGAATCAATGCCATGTTAAAGTTTTGATGTTAGTGTTGTATAAATTATACACATAAAGAGAACATCAAAAAAGTCCCTTTCAACCAGAACACACACACACACACACACACACACACACACACACACATCGTTCTTCCTCTGCATTATCAGGCTTTAATGTGTATAGTGATTAATACACATGTGCTAGCTGGCATCACCTTTTATTTCTGCTGCATGTGTACACAGTCAATACATGTTTCTAATAAAGTGTAGTTTATTCTTAGTCTTTGAACTAGATTATGGTAAGCAAATAAAATAAGCTTATATCTTACGAAGATATTTCCAGGATTTACCTTTGAAATGTATAAGAAAGGTAAATGATAATAAATCTAAATCAAAGTATTCTGGGGTCAGGTATGGTGGTGGGAGGCTGAGGGAGGAAAATCGGTTCAAGTTCAAGGCCAGCCTCAACTACATAGTCAAACCTTGACACATAAAGACAAAAAAAAGTATTATAACAGAATTACAATTACGTTATGTAAACGTACCTTCATAGCTGAGAATACTTTATTATTAAATGTATACAAGAAAACAGAAGTGTTAGATTGAAGTAATTTTTCTTTGTAATGTCTTTTAATTTTGTTACAGTTCTGCTTTTTGCCTTAAAAGAAGAGTTAGAACATTATTACCCCAGAGCTAAAGAATGATACTTAAAAACCTAGTAGATAAAAGGAAAAGAAAAATGCACAAGTGTTAATTCTTAGTTTAAAAAAAATGTATGTTTAGCCTTCATTCTAATAGGAGATTGGGCATTGAGCATATGGTCTCATACCTGATAGGTAAGCTGTGTGCCACTGAGCCACAGCCCCACCCAAAAATGAAATTTTCAAAGGAGAGATTTTTATTTCGCTGTCAAATTTAACAGAAGTTTAAAGTAATTAACTTTACTTTAAAGGGCCAGTAAGGAGAGGTGCCATGTGCACGTGTGGGTATTATTGATATCGTTACGGTTTTGCATAACTTTCAGAAATCAATTCAGCAATATCTATCAAATAGAAAATTATATTCATTTCTTGAGGGATCTGCAAGTGAGATAATGCTTCACATAGAAAAAATAAAATGTTTATATGATATATAAAAAATTAGAATCAATCTTCATCAATGAGATAGTACTTGTCTACATACATTTTGAAGTATTTTTGAAGATAATATTTTAAGCTTTGACATGCCATTAAGTGAAATCAGAATATAAAATTTTATATACATACTCACAATGAATTATAGTCAGTTTTTAAAAGGTATGCAAAAATGAGGTGAAATTTCTGAAGTATTTATAGAATCACTGGTTGATGAGATTGTGGGTATTTAAGAACATCTTCCTCCTCGTACTTTCTGTATTTTCCAACTATGGTTGTGTATTTTTAATTGAAAATGATCGAGCTATTCAAATGATATTTTAAAGAATAAAATCCACATAACTGATTTTCCGTGTTTTGCATATCACTCAGGTGGAAGTATGCTGGTTTAGGTCTTTTGAAGAATGTAACTTATTAAGACCTTTTAACCAAATAATTTTCATAGCTAGATGATATCTTTAAGGGCAAGTGGGAGTTTACCCTCTTATAAAGGGAAAAAGAAGTCAAGAGAAGTTGAGAAACTTATAATCTCAGTTAGAGTTTATTCTGTTCATAAATTATACCTTACCCTTAATTTAGTCGTCATTAAATAGTAGGTAAAAGAAAGCTTGTCTAACTATATATATCTCAGTAATTTTCATCATTTCATGAATGTGCTCCACTAGGAGAATCATTGCCAAGTAATAAAAGTCTACATATTAATGTAATTCAAGGGACAAAATTGTTCATCTTGTTTAATCCACGTTTATTTGATTCTCTTCCCTTAGATAAGAAAGGTTTATTGAGTGGAAAATTTTCTCAGTTATCTGCACATTCACTGAAAGAATATGTATATATTGAAATTGCAACTGTTTGAATTATGTTGTCAGATTCTGTGGTGGAACACTGTTCTATTTAAACGTAAAAGTATACTCTTATGTTACAATTATATTACAACAGGGCTGGGCCTGGGGATTTAGCTCAGTGGCACAGTGCCTGCCTGGCAAGCGCAAGGTCATGAGTTTGGTTCCCGGTACCAGGAAAAAAAAAAAAAATCACAGCAGGGCAGATCTCATTTAACTAACCAGAGTATTAAAAAAATTTTTGTCTTGTCTTAAACTATGGTTTCATATATTTCTGTCCATGGGGATTGCAAATTTATTTCATGAAGATTAAGAGAAGGTTTTAAAACCTTTTTTCTTTTTCTAGCTTATATGAAGGATGATTATATGGGGCTCTTATAAAGTATACATACTTGAGGGGTTTATAACTGATTTAATTAATATGAATGTATTTTATGAGAGGCAGAATTCATTTCTACTTACATTTTTACCTTTTCCCTTCCTTCCTTCCTCTCCCGCTATCGCCTTTTTCTTTTCTGTTTTTAACTACTAGGGATTGAACCCTGGGGTCTTCACACCTCCCCAGAGCACTTCTTAATTTTCTTTTTTTTTAGATGTTGAGACAGTGTCTTCTCTGCCGTGCCTAGCCTGCCCTAGAACTTGTGACCCTCCTAGAGTGTTGGCATTACAGGCACGCACCATCACCTCCAGTCTGTACTTGGCATTTATAAAAAGTGCCCATTCTGGCCTGGGGATGTAGGTAGGTGCTAGAGCTCATGCTGACCATGAGTTTGACCCTCAACACCACAAAGCAAAGTGCTTACTCCATCAGGATCAGTAAATTTAACTTTTGGGATTTTGAGTTAAATCTAGCTATTTGTGAACTAGAACTTTGGAGGGTTTTTTTGTCGTTGTTTTGTTTGTTTGTTTGTTTGTTTGAGACAGGGTCTTGCTATGTAGTTCAGGCTGGTCTCAAACTCACTGCAGTCCTCCTGCCTCAGCCTCTCTATTACAGGCATGTGCCATCACGAGTGGCACGAACTTTGAATTAGTTAAATTACTTTATGGTACTTGTTTCTAACCTACTACCAGGGATTAAATTTACTATGTTGTCTGTTGCAGAAAGAAAAAGTCCATCTAAAATTTTGGTACTACTATGAAAACACTATTTTCTGTATTTGCTTTAGAAATAAATCTAGCTACCATCAAATTAAAACTAAAAATTTAATATTTACAATCATCATTATCATCATCCTATCATTTTCTGTCTTAAAGGAGCTATTAGAAAATTTAAAAACCAAACTAATTTTTTACCAGCTTTTAAAATGTGAAAATGACTCCTAAATTATGGCTTCCTTGCCCATATCTTATCTTTCAAGGAGCTTTCTATTCACTTGTTAACTTTGAGCTTGATTTCTGGCTTGCCTTTTTGCTTTACAACTGCTCTTGAAAGTTACCATTGTAAAAGCGATCGTTTATATATGTTTCCAAGTAAATCTATAGACTTACTAAGGCCTGAGGTTTCTTTAACATGTACGCGTATCTTTGGTACAATTATGCATATTTTCTTTCAAAGCATTCGTTGGCTGATAGCATAATGTATGAGGCTCCAGTAAGAATGCTATTGTTCTAATGCTGTGTTTTTCCCCCTCTCTACGTCTGAACAGCCACACTCTACCTCACAGAACATCAACCTGGGACCAACTGGAAATCCTCAGTAGGTTTGATTTATCTCAAACAATCCTTTAATTAAATTCTAGGAAGCTCATTTTTGAGGTATATGTAATTATAGCGTTTCATTAGGGACTTATGAAATATAACCATAGTTGTAAGAAATATATAATATTGTCATGTGCTTGACTAACTCACTGCTCTAGCTTTTCATTGCTTTAGTAGAACCCTAGTAAGGCACTATTTTTTTTAATCCACAAATAGTTCATTGGGTTTTGAGATTTTGCAGTTGTTAGTTTTCTGATTTTATTTTGTGTTGTGTGTGAAAAGTCATTTGCACGTGTGTCCCAAGGGACTGTAAGTCCTGTAAGGTATTCCAAAAACAGAAACATCCTTGCAGGCCTAATTGCTGCGTTCTCCTGGCGCTCACTCTCGGTGTTGTTGGTGCACACTAGTTGTTAACCAGCTTGTTCCGGAGGAGTAATGGTGGACATCAGCATATTAAGAGTATTAAACTTTACCTGCTCTGCCCCATATTCCTATACGTATTTGAGTACACAGAAGATATTTTGAGGAATGCAGTCTGAGAAATGTTGAGTGAGAGCAGTGGTGGCAAGTACAGACTTCCTCTTGACTGCCGACCCCAGTGATTCACTGAAAGTGAACCTACAGCATCCAGTACCAAGGTTGTACTGCTGCTGCTGGACTCCGTTGAAGGAGGACCGAGATGCATCAGTGGTGTGAGACCTGAGTCGGAGAAGGAGCGTAGTATTGCCATCTGACTTTACAGTTACCACCCCAGGAGTCTTTGATTGATTTTGAGTATTCTAGGCTTGCGTTATCTTTTTGACTTATTTGGACGGAGTATAGACACATGGGAGAAGTGATCCCAGCCAGGATTGGGTCCTGGGACCCTTCAGTTCTACACAAGAATAGAGTTTCTTCTCCTGAAGGCAGGACAAGAAAATGTCTCAAGGAAGAGGAGGGATTTATAATTAATTCTGTTAATGTTGCTGATTGGGAAGTAATACAAAGATTGGAAACTGACCACTGAATTCAATAAGTCATTGGTGACTTTTACAGGCAGTTTATCAGTATGGTTGTAAGACCTTGATAGGAAAGGGTTCAGGAGAGAGGTAGAGGAGAGGTCATCTGGAAAAATAGTGACCTTAGACGACTTATTGGGAGATTTTGCTGCCTGGGATAATAGGTAACTGGAATACAGTGTTTGGTTTTGAGCATTGTTTTTTGTCATTCATAACATTGTGCAAAATGGTCTCGCAGAATAGAAATTTTCAGTTAGGACTCAGCAGCAGCAGTTAACAGTGAGGCCTTGGCCGATTTGCGATTTCAAGTGTTTGCCTGATTTTTCCCTGTTAAATTTGCTTGCTTTTGTTGAAAAAAATATTTCAGTCTCTCAGGCTTCATTAAAGAACAAAATAGTTCAAAGAGCAGGTTTCTAAAGAAGAGAAAACATCTAAATTTAGTTAAGTATTTATCTCACTAATCTCTACTTGTTATTATTTAACCTAGCCCCTCGTGTTACTCTCTTGTTTGAACTGACTATTTTTCTTTAATAATCAGTTGAAGGAAATTTCAGAGGCATGTGGAGTTTTTCTCCTCTCTAGTACAACTAAGGAATTAAGACTACTTTGAAGAAAACCGCTTTTCTGGCTACTTAAGCTCAACTTCCTGCTTCCATGTGCATCTGCCCATATTATAGCAGTGTTGTTTTTACCTAATAAAGTAGTTTTCTCTCTGGCTTTTCTGTTCCTGGCTTTCTTACATCACCATCCATAAGAATAAACTGAGAGGTCTTTTATCTTTAATGTACAATAAATGATTCATATTTAACACTGAGGCTTTTTTCTCCACTGGAACATTTTTAGTATGTTTACAAGGTGTTGCAACTAGTAATTTCATTTTTAGAAGAGTTACCAGATACTAGAGAGTCTTTGGAATGTGTAACTAATTTATATAGTTTTTGTTTCCTCACAACATTGGTGAGGTTCATGGTTAATAAAATTGGCTTAGATAGAAGCTACTTTGAGTTCAAAACTGTTATATATGTATATCTAGATATATATTTAGATATATGTCTATATATGGAAATAAATTTATGCCTCCTTTCCCAATAAAGAAGATATTAGTGAACTCCTTTTAAAGCAGAACTTCATGAGGCTTACAGAATTATAAAATATTTTGTCATTGTTAATTTATTTCAGTGCTAAACCAACTGACTTTGACTTTTTAAAAGTTATTGGAAAAGGCAGCTTTGGCAAGGTAAGAGTGTTTTTACCTTTTCATTCAGTGGATAAATATTTAAGGAATGTAGTTTACACTGTATACATGTGAGCCACAGGACATTTTTGGTATGAAGGAATAGGGTAAAGTGACAGAGGACAGTAGCAGCAGGGATAAGATGGGATGGAGAAAATCCCTAATTAGGTTAATCAAGGATGCTTCTTTGAAGATGCTCTATTAAGCTGAGGCTATAAAGACAAAAATGAGCATCTGTGTGAATAACAGTGAAGGGAAGGAATGTAAAGACCCTGCTTATTCTCATGCAGTATCAGATGAATCATACAACTTGACACTATAGCTATACCAAGGGAGAAGAATCACTTAAGGTCAGGATTACTAGGAAAAGTATTACAGATGAGTTTATCAGAATCATCAAATGTGTTCAAGTATTTTGTGCATTATTTTCAAATCTGTGGTAAAAATGAATATTGCAGTAGTTTGGTGTCTCTGGTTTGTTTTCTGATTTCCCTTGTGACCAGACAAATCTGCGTGTGTTTTTCAATTCACCCAATATGTATTGACAGAGCATTGTGCTAATATAACCAACAGAAAGTTAGAAGGATCCTATTCTCAACGTACTTATAGTCTGTTGCAGTTCTAGAGATAGTCTGACATTACAAACAGAAGCATTAACTAGGAATGGTGGAATGCTGGTAATCCTAGCTATTTAGGTTTAGGCAGAGGATTGTGAGTTCAAGGCCAGCCAGCCTGAACAACATGGCAAGATCTCATTGCGAAAGCATAACAACAGAAAATAGTATCTTTTAAAAACTTCATGCTTAGATCCAGAATCCACCAAGATTTTATTCTTACATATAATATGAGATGTAGGGTCAGTCACAGGTCATCTTTGTTATCTATGGATATCTAGACAATCTTACAGAATTTATAAAAAGACTGTTTTCCCCCCTTGATCTAAAGGGATGCCTTTATCATATATCTAGTGTTTATATATGAACAGACTTGTTTTTAGGCTTAATTGTTTGTATTTTTGTTTCTAGATTTTATATTTTCTTCCATTGGTCTATTTGTTTATCTTGACACCAGTGCCGCATTGTCTTGACAACTAAGTCCTCTGCGCCTTGTTCTTCAAGACGCTATTCTTAGCTATTTGTACACATTTTAGAATGCATTTTTTGCAAAAATTTGTTTGGAATTTGATTATGATTGCATTGAATCTGTAGATAAATTTGCAGAGAATTGGCATCTTTATAATGTTGAGTCTTGCAGTCCATGACTATGGTATAGCTTTTTGTTAATTTGGCTTATTTAAAATTTTTTCAATAATATTTCATAGTGTTCTATATAGAATTTGTACACATCTTTAATTAGTTTCATTCCTAGTTGTTTCTTTTTTGTGCTGTTTTTTTTTGAAGCTGAATATAGATATTACCTCTGACACATTGATTCTACCCCTAACTGGCTATCCAACAGAAATGGAGTTGCGCTGGAAAAGGAATATTCAGGCATGCTCATGTTATCGTTATTCATAAACAGTCTAAAAAACCCACTTGAAGGGAATCAGTACCTTCTAATTTCCACATTCTTTTAATTATTTTCTCAACGTGTACTTGAAGATGCACCAAAGTATTGGAGAAGGAAAGGTCGGGCAGGTGGGAGTTGTCAAGAAAAGGAACAATAAAGAAGGAATGCTGAACAGAGTAAAATGTTATAGATAACAACAACAAAAAAGAGAGAAATGAGAAAAACACACTTGAGAAGACATTTTTATCCTGAAGGTATTTTTACTCCATCTTTGAGTAATAAAAATATTTTATTAACCAACTTTATTTTTATTTTTTAATTTTTTTTGTGTCAGGAATCAAACCCAGGACCTTGCACTTTCCAGGCAGGTGCTTGTGCTGCTGAACTATATCCCCCACCAGACTTTATTTTCAGAACAGTTGTAGATTTATAGAAAAATTGAACAGGAAAGTACAGACAATTCCCAGCATTCCCAGTACTCTTTAACACAGATTGACCTCTTATTATCACCATACGTTACTGTTGGTTGTTATAGTAAACCAGTATTGTTACATTATTAGTAATGGAAATATATCATTTATTCACTTTTACTTAAAGTCCTTTTTCTATTTCAGAATCCTATCCAGGATACCACGTTACATTTAGTGGTCATGTCTCCTTAGGCTTCTGTTGGCTGCAGTAGTTTCTCACACTTTTTTTGTTTTTAGATGACTTTGACAGTTTCGAGGAATACTGGTCAAGTATGTTGTAGGATGCTCCTCTGTTTTAATTTAATTTAATTTATTTTTGCCTGATCAGAAAGGGTTAGGTTTTGGCAAGAAAATAGAAGTGCTATCATTGTCCCTAGTTGATGTGTCAGATCATTTAAAAAAAACTTCGGACTGTGTCATTTAATAGATACACACAATTTAACTTGGTGGTGGTCTTGAATCACTTGCACTTGGAGTCACATGTCACTTAACAATGGGAACATGTTCTGAGAAGTGTGTTCTTAGCCGATTTCATTGTTGTGCAAACATCACAGTGTATGCTAGCGCAGACCTAGATGGCATAGCTACTGCTACATCACCTACATGCACCTAGGCTATACGATGTTTACCAGTGGTGGCAAACCTGTGGTACACGTGCCACAGTGGGCATGCAGAGCCCTCTCTTTCAGCATGGGAGCCAACTTGCCCCAGCCAAGCTTTGAAGAACTATCAGCGTGCATATAACAGCAAAGATCACATTTTTTTCTAATTGTGCAGAAACACAGCAAATACAAACTTCACCTTTAAATGAAAACCTGTTTGTATCATTGAAAGCTCTGTTATTGTGTTTTTCATTTAAGACTGAAGATGTTAATGTAGTGTGAGGTTTAGTTTTTTTCTAAACTAAAACCTCAGTATTCAGGTTTGATTGCAGTGTTGGCCCTTCACCGTATGTAAGTGGGTTTGGGTTGCATTTTGCGCACTCAGTCTCTGAAAGGTTCGCTACCACTGGTATACACTGTACATTTTATCCATTGTGGACTGAAATGTTGTGCAGCACATGCCTGAATTTGTAAAACCTTGAGTGTGTCTACCTTTTCCTCGTGTGCCATCTTTAGGTTTTTAGGCCATTATAGACATTCACCTATACATAATATTTCTTCCTCTGTACTCTTCTAAATTATAAAATCTATAAGAAAAGCCTAAGTATAAAACAGCAATGCACTTTGATCACTAAAAATCATTTCCTTCTTTTATATAGCCATTAAATTTTATAGCCTTGGTATTTTCTAAGGACCCAAGGCTGGAGCACATGTACATACACATACGCACAAACACAAAGACATCTCAAGCAGGTTCAATTTTGGCGCTTAAATTCAGTTAAGAAAACTCATCAACACACTAATTGACAAAGACATAGTGCCTGGCTATTGATATGCTCAATATCTTTTTTATTAAAATACCGAAGAAAATGGAATTATAGAAATAAATTCAGTAGTTCTCAGTGTTCAAAACAAAAATATATTACCTAGATCATTGTGGACTTTTCACAAAATTTAAGAGCTATTTTATTGGCAGGTGAATGAAAATACTTTAATTTTAATAATTTGTACAATCTCCATAACAGGTTCTTCTTGCAAAACGAAAACTGGATGGCAAATTTTATGCTGTCAAAGTGTTACAGAAAAAAGTAGTTCTCAACAGAAAAGAGGTAAAATACAATAGCGATTGTTTTTCCTGAGTCCATTTTTTAAATTAACAAAATGGTTTTCTGATATTTAATGCAAATTGATACTTTGTCTTTTTTTCCAGCAAAAACATATTATGGCTGAACGTAATGTTCTCTTGAAAAATGTGAAACATCCATTTTTGGTTGGATTACATTATTCTTTTCAAACAAGTGAAAAGCTTTATTTTGTTCTGGATTTTGTTAATGGAGGGGAGGTGAGTTTTATAATTAGTGTTTTAATATTGATAATTATTACAAAACTAGCGTGAAGTAAAGATTTTCTTACAAGTTTTAAAATGACAGTGCATTATCAATAGCTGTTTGTGTAGTAGAAACAGTATTCAAGCAACTAGCTACAATGCAAGATATGGTGAAGTACAATATGAAAACTGTCAAATATACAGTACTGCTGGGAGGATTTATTTGTAAAAGAACCTTGGTACAAAGCTACAAACTTCATTGATAGATTTGTTACTAAGCTTTATAGCAATAATGACACCCTGAAATATTAGAATAAATCATGATTTATGATTCAGATGATTGTTTTAACAGTTACATATAAAACTTCAGCCTGTCATTTCTCAAATGTCCAAAATATTAATCAGTGAAATAATCCTCTAATAAAGAATCCTGTGGTGAAGTTAGTTGGGAAATGCTTCCTTGTATCACCAGCTTGGTAATTTATAATCTGTTTCAGCTTGTTCAAGACTTTGAGCGCAGCCTTAAACAAAGGATTTCTTAAAAGAAAAATGCTGTTTTTATCTCAGAGTCTCTGTTTTGTTTGAACCTAATTTATTAATATTCCTCAAAACTCTGATATAGAAGCATATTAAAATACACTTGAGGAAATGCTGTTACAGTAATTATAGTTAAGATGTGTTATATTAGGTATGTGTCCAGCACTTTGGCTTTTCATATTCTTTATCTTCACAAAAATCTTACAGAAGACTAACAACCCTAGGAACAGAGAAGCCAAGTAGCTCATGGAAGTCATGTACTGTAGTTAGTAATTACTGGATACGGGAATTGATCTTGGGCGTCAGGCAGGCTGATTCCAGAGTATAGGTACTGACCACTCCCATTTGTCTACTTTTCAACGCTCATATCTTTCTAATTTGTTTGGTCCTTGACTGTAAATGTCTAAAAATTATTTTAATTCTTAAAAATTGTCGTTCCTTTACAAAGAAATTTTCTCTCTTCTGAGAGTGGAGAGAAAAGAAAAATAAAATTTCAACATTTCTGTAGTACACTTAACTAGAACAGTTTCTATTCTGCAAATCTGAAAGATGATCAGACACCTACATCATTTCAGGACAAGCTTATAAAGAAAAATCTATTCAGCTCCCTACATAAGACAAAAGTCTCTCAAGACTCAGTATGGAGGCATGATTTTGAGTCCTTCAGAGATGCAGATGACCCTATATTGTTCCTACCTTGAAGGGGGTCATTTTATTTTGCATGTGTCTGAGTGCTAACAAGTTAAATTTGTTAGAATTTGTTGAGAGATCAGCACCTTGTTATGTTATATGCATTGTTTCAGTTAATCATCATAACTCAGAGATTAACACTCTTACTACTCCTACACTTTTTTCTCTCCCAGTGATGGAGATTAAACCCAGGGCCTTCACACTAAGCTGCATCCCCAGCCCGTTTTTTACTTTTTGTTTTTGAGACAGGATCTCACTAAGTTCTACTTCTTGGGGTTGAACTGCGATCCTCCTCTCAGGCTTCCATAGTGCTAGGACTACAGACTTATGCTACTTTCCCAGTTCTCAGTTTTCTTATCTATAAAATAGGTTAAGCCAGGCATAGTAGCAGATGCCTATAATCCCAGCACTCTGGGAGGCTGAAGCAGAAGGGTCAAAGTTGAAACCCAGCCTGGCCAATTTGATGAGTTAGCAGAAACCTACTGATTTGATACTGTCTCAAAATAAAAAGGCTGGGAATACGGCTCAGTGAGAGGGCCCTGGGTTCAATACCCACTACTAAAAAAAAATTTTTAAAGTTGAGACTCAGAGAGGTTCACTTTCTCAGTGTCACAATATTTTAGCGTCAGGCCAGGCCCTAGATTTAACTGAGACATTTTCACTGTAAAGCCCACTGTGTTTTTTTAAAGAGAATCTTGCTGTATTGCCCAGGCTGGCCTCAAACTTGAGATCTTTCACCCTGAGCCTCCTAAGCAAATGAGTTACTGGTGTGTACCCCATCCCTGGCTTATTAAGTACCACCTGTATCTTTGAAATGTTTGTGTAAGGTATCTAACTGTAGATAAGATCCTATTGCAAGTTTCCTATTTTATCTGTGGTCTCTTCATGTTGTTTTAGGACTTTGCTTCTGAGCCTTTTTTACCTAGTGGCTGCTTACAAACTGAGCTGCAGAGCTGGGAAGAGTGAATTTAAAAGATGCACTTGGCTAAGTAGATTGCGGTGATGGGTGGAGGAGTTGAGTGGGACAGGGAATAAAGATGAAGGGAAAGGATAGAGGGAAGCAGGATGAATACGGCTTAATTCTGTATTGGATCTTAAGTCCTATGCCTTAACCACTCGCCCATCCTGGGGACTACCATCCCACTTTATTGTTAACTGTTATTTTCCTGCTAATGTTCATACTTATATTTTAACCTTGACAAGATATTTTTGTTTCTTTTTTTTTTTTAGAGCAGAGTATCAACAAGTACGTTATATAATATGAAACAGATAAGCAAGGTTTTCTGAGCTTTAGTTTCCTCTTTATTTCTGACCTCAAAATTGTTGTATGGATTAAATAACACAAGTATGTAAGGTCTTTAGCACAGTGCCTTTTTATTTACTAAGCAATCAGTGTGAGCTATTTTTAGTGACATACTCAGATTTTTCATTTTAGGTTTTTTAGTGTTAATATATCAGCCAAATGTGGTTGGGAAATCAATAAAGAGAACATTGTAGTAGTGTGTAGTGTAGGCCACAACTAATAAAAGCAATGGTAAGAGTGAAAGGGGAGAAGTGCGGGTGCTAAGGAGTAGTGTGACCACTCTGGTGACTACAGAGAGGTTAAATGAATTACACACAGAAGAGATGAGCCAGAATTGGAACCCACGTCTGATTAGCTCTCAGTCCTTTTGGTGCACAGTGCCTTTTGCCTCTTCTGTGGCTTAGAGGGCTGGAGAAAATACAGTAGCAGTAATAAGTCTGTAAGAGAAGAAAAGGGTCTCTGTTTTAGACAAGTTAAATTTGATGACTTATAAAATACGAAAAAAAATCAGGCAATCAGTAGGTTTTTGAAGTAGAAGCCCCAGCTGGAGCTATGAGCTGGGGATGTCCATGTGGAAGACATCAACATACAGGTGGTGGTTAAAATCTTTGGGATGGATAGGTTACCTGGGAAAGGTATTTGGAGAAAAAATAGCAGTGGACCAAGGGTAGAAACTGTCATCGTTCTGGTGTCTAGAACCAGAAAAGATGACAGACGGGCCTCTCCCAGACAGGAGCAGAGCCAGGGAGACATTGTCCTAGAGCCCACAGGCCTAGTGCACACTTCCCTGAGGCAGGTACCTCAGTGGCCATAGGACTGGTTGTATGAAATAAATTAAGAATTAGAAGGTGTGAGAAATGGAGAGTCCGGCTGTTGTTCTTCCCAGCCAGTTGCTGCCACATTGAATTTAGGCCTCATGGGGCACTGTGAGACCTTTGTACTTTGGTACATACTTATCTCATATTCAGAAATAATCTCTACCTTTGTATTTATAGAACACATTTGTTTAATACCGTGTGTGAATGCTCCTAACATCTCCACTTGCCAAATTTTGCAGCTGTTTTTTCACTTACAAAGAGAACGGTCCTTTCCTGAACACAGAGCGAGATTTTATGCTGCTGAAATTGCCAGTGCATTGGGTTACTTGCACTCCATCAAAATAGTATACAGGTAAATTGCTGAAGTAGTATGTATAAGACTGTCTTTTTAATATTTTATTTCAAGTAATACTCAGGGTTTTCTTCTTTTTCTTTTCTTTTACTTTTATAGAGACTTGAAACCAGAAAATATTCTTTTGGATTCAATGGTAACTATTATCTTTTAAAAATCTCCTAGTACTGATTTTTGGTCTAAATGGTGGGGGAAGAAAAGCCTTAAGCTTCCATACTGCATGACTGCGTTTATATTTCATTCTCAAAATGACAAAACCACGGAGAACAAATGAGTGGTTGCAAGGAAACAGGGTCAAAGGAAGAGAGCACAAAGATAAAGGAGTAGCACAAGGAGTTCGTTTGTGATGAAGTAGCTCCCATTTAATGGTGGGTGTTACATGAATGTTGACTAGAACTACACCCCACATGGTGAAACTGAGTAAGGTTAGTAAACGGTGTTGTACCAATGTCAGTTTCCTTTTTGATATTGTACTGTGATGATACAAGATGTCAGCATTAAGGAAGCTGGGTGAGGGCACGTGGGACTGTATGTACTGTTTCTTAATTTTCTGTGGGTTTGTAATTATTTCAAAATAAAAAGGTTTTTAAGACTATCAGTTTGTGTCCATGTATTGTTTATCTTACTGTTCTTGTATTGTCAGGGACATGTTGTCTTAACAGATTTTGGGCTTTGTAAAGAAGGAATTGCTATCTCTGATACTACTACAACATTTTGTGGGACACCAGAGGTAAGAAATATGTCTTGTCATTATAGAATAATTTCTAGATGTAAATATGAAGTGTCCCATATACAAAATTGAAATAAGGAAAGTAGAATAAAAAGTGTCATTTCAGCTTTCAGCCAGCTGTACTTCTAGATAGTTAAAAGTTTACTGATAGTTGGTATTTTTCACTGCTATAGTGAAATAAACAACAGGGCCCTTTTGAATAATTTAAAAAGGGTAAGTTATCTTTATTTGTTTTTAATATTGAAAGTTTACCTTAGGCTTAGCATTTGACTATATTTCTAATCCTTTCTTAAAAAATCACAAATCAGGGGCTGGGGATTTAGCTCAGCGGCACAGCTCCTGCCTGGCACACACAACGTCATGAGTTGGATTCCCAGTACCAGAAAAAAACAAAAACAAAAAAACTCAAAAAATCACAAATCAGTAAAAATATCCTAAAATGTCAGAGGGGGAGGTACAGTTGTGGTGAAGATTGCACAATACTGTGCATGTGTTTGAAGATTGAACCCAGCCCATGATAATGTTTTCAATATGATGATGTCACTGGATCGGGTCCTAGGAGATTCCTTTAAAGAGTGAATGGAGACCTCAACTCATCCCTAGATGAGTTTGTTAACTCTTGTCACAGAAAAGCATGTCAGGATGTGTTAGTGTGAGGCATAAGCAAGCATATTAGGTGGAATTAGGAAGTCAGAGAAAATAGGGAATGGACTTAAGCTTGAGGAACTGAGGGGACCCAGCTCTGATAAAAAGGGTCAGACTGGCCTGTTAACAAATCATGCAACCAGCTTTTATGGATTTGCTGGAGTGGGCCGGTCTGCTTGCTCATTGTTTCGGTCTGGTTTGCAGGATGGCACTGGGGAAAGTCCTTATCGCTTAGGAGGGTAGTTCGGTCCCCTTGAGATGCTTAGGGTAGTTTGAGTTTTGTGGAGGCTCTGCTGGAACCCAAATGACCGTAGGTTTGCAGCACTGACTGTCTACCTCCGGGCACTTACTGGTAGTTGCGTGTCCCTGTAAATCTCTTACCTTGGTGTTCACAGTCTTACAGAGGGGTAAGATTGAGTTAGGTAAATTTAGAACTAATCATTCTTTGCAGCTTTTAGACACTCAGTAAATGATTAACGTGCCTATTCTCAGAGCTGAGCAAGGATCCGACCCAGTTTTAAGGTAGCAAATGAAGGTCAAGCATATTTCTTCTTGTTGTTGTTTTTGGGTACATTTTGGGCATCTGTAGGCTGCAATTAATGTTTACCAGTTCTTAGCAAAAGCTGGCTTTAGATCCCTGACTGCCTCAAAAGAAAGCACAAATCATACTTTGGATGAGTAATAGTAATATTTCTGTGCCTGTGGTGATCTCTGTGTCCTTAACACTGAAACTTTCTTAAATTTCTCAGTTATTCCTAAATGTTACCCTGAGTTGTACCGTTGCTGTTTCATTGTTTTCTACAGTACCTTGCACCTGAAGTAATCAGGAAACAGCCCTATGACAACACTGTGGATTGGTGGTGCCTTGGTGCTGTTCTGTATGAAATGCTGTATGGATTGGTATGCATTTCTGTTCTTTGATTACTATTCCAATACATTATCATTGATTTGGCACACAGTCTTTAAGATCTGAAGACACCTAGATAACACAAACGTCAGTAATCACCTGGTTAAATGAATCTAAAATCACATTAGAAATACATACAAGAAGAAAACCTTCTCGTTTTGTTACTAGTTTTTAAAAGTAGTACAATTATTCTCTGTCATACTTACAACTACGTAAGTTACCTGTTTTCAGTTTACCCACAACCTCTACCTAATTTGAAAAAGAAGGCGTTTATCAGCATGTTACTGTATTTCAAAAGATAATCCCCTTTGGCTTTTGATTTTCATTTTGTCTTTATAGGATTGAATCAGTGCACCAGTGCTCAGCTTTTTCTGTCACTGGAGATCTTCTGTTTTTTGCCTTAAAAACACCATGCCTTCAAGATTCCATGGGAAAAAAAAAAAAAAAAAAAGAGGGATGTTCACTGTGCAGTGGGTTGTTCCAGTTTTTATTAAGTAAAAACACATAAGACCAGCCAGAGCCTCCCGTTAAAATGAGGAACATTGTGTTATTCTATTGAGATAGTATCACTCCAACCCAAAGCAAACATTTTTGGCATATTCCTTTCTTTGTAAATAAATCACGTTTTTCTGTAGGCCTTTTGAAAATTTTGGAATAATTTCTTAGATTCCCTTTGTGATTCCATAAGTATCCGGAAACTTTGTGCTAGGAGCCACCCTGTAATCTGAGGTTGCTGCCAGTACTGATTCTAAATGCTACTGGTGTGTCAGTTCAGACCTGAAGTAGTAATATGCATGTTTTTCCTGCAAAGTATGGAGCTGTCCCTGAAGTTTAGCACATGAGATCAATTTTAGAGCATTTGTTTCATATCATTAATTTTGCATGATAGATTCCTATGAAAGCCAATACTGTCTCTTCCCTGAACTATGATCACCTTATAAAAAGAGCTACCTTTTTAGTAATGCTAATGATTTAGAACAGTGGACAACCACTTTATATCTTACTTTCTTCAGGCACTGAGTATTTACATTTGTTTCAGAATTCTTTGTATTTTAGAGGATTTTGAAAGTATAAAATAGTTATTTTAAAAAGTAAAGTTTTTTCTTATGAAAAAGAAAGGGAAAGTGACAGGCCTGTAAAATTTCCTTAGCACTAAAAATTATTTTTACTTCAAAACTTTCTAACTAACGATTAACTGGCCAGTGTTGATGTTGAAGCTACCCCGCCCCCCAGTGTTTCGGCTATGACAGTAGCATTTTTAGTTATGCAAAGTACTCTCATGATACTTTCACTGACACAAGTACTTAGGATGGAGTATTGTCTTTGGGTCTTTTATCTTTTCTAGATACCTTTGCTTTAATGCATTTAGTCCCAAATCTCAAAAAGTTAATGTTTCATTTGTCTTGAAACTATGTTTGCAGTGATTCTATCATTATACCTATGATAAGGTTGATGGTTGTTTTTTCTAAAACACACTTTTACAAGTTGTTTGCAGCTTAGCACCTGTTTACAAGGTGCTGTTGAACAAACCTTCATTCACTCAGTGAACATTTATTAAACTCTACCATGTGCCAGGTAAAGGTCCCTCTCCATTGTGAGGCCACACTGCAGGTCTGCACGTCCCAAGAGGGCAAATCCCGATCTAACTGTTCTAAAACCGTTTTGGCATAATTCACTTACTACTGAATTTCTTTATTTCGCTTTTTTCTTTTTCAGCCACCTTTTTACTGCCGAGATGTTGCCGAAATGTACGATAATATTCTTCACAAGCCCCTAAATTTGAGGCCAGGAGTGAGCCTCACAGCCTGGTCTATTCTGGAAGAACTCTTAGAAAAAGACAGGCAAAATCGACTTGGTGCCAAAGAAGACTTTGTATGTAGCACGTTTCCCAGTTCCAGCTTTATTTAAGCTTACTTAAAATTTGGAGACAAATCCTTATTGTATAAGATATTTACTGGGATGGATATAGCTATTAAGGGGTAGCACAACTGAAAAACTCGTCACCTCAGTTTTCACTAGTGTTTAAAACTATACAGTGTTTAAAGCATTTTCACTTGTAATTTTTCATTTAATGAAAAAATTTACACCCCACATCCAGCTTTCACATCATTTGGTTTTTATTTATAGCAGTTTCCTCTCCCTAAAAAAAAAGTTGTGTAGTATATATTAACTCCCTAAATTTTTTCAATTTAATTTTTATTGCTAAATAATAACATTTCCGTGAAATTTTAATGCAAAGACTAACCAACTAGTAAGTTTTTTTTAGGGTTTGGGGTTATATAAGCTTTAAAAGTTTAATGAGAATTTTTAAGTGCCTCTTGTCTGCATGAAGTACTGCCTTTTGCCTCAAACTAATATTAAATCACTGTTCTTATTTTTGCTTTTGTTTTTTTCTTTTTGGTTTTTCTCCGGTACCAGGAACCGAACTCATGACCTTGCGCTTGCCAGGCAGGCGCTTTGCCACTGAGCTAAATCCCCAGCCCCTTTTGCTTTTGTTTTTGAGAATTTGGTAACATTTCTTTGAGACGGTTATGGAGTGTGATTTTTTTTTGTTTTTTTAAAATCAGGGTAATTTGCTACTACGTTACTAGTACTACTCCACCGTTTTCCTACTGCCCTCACTCTTCAGTTGGGCAGGTAACTCGGCCAGCAGTTTCCTATTCAGGGTGCTAATATTTCACACCTCCTTGTCCTTTCATTGAATTCACTCTCAGAAATTGAATAAATCCAAGAGTCACATCCTGGGCTGCAGTACAGTGCTGCAGAAAGCAACATCTGGGCATAATGGAAGAACCAGAGCATCATAGTCACGAGCCTCTGAGTTTCTTCCTTCAGCTTACTCTGCTACACTCTGTGTTAACTGTTTCAGACCTCCTCTCCAAACTTGCAAGTTCCTTTTGGGTTTTCCTTTTACTTTTTTAAAATAGGATTTCGTTAATACACTGGTGCTCAACTTTTTCTGTTACTAGAGATCACCCTATGTTCCCTTTCCTGAAAGCACTACATCTCAAAGATTCATTTTCTAAAAGGTGATGCTTATTATACTATGCAGACTTACTTCCCCGGTTTTTACTAAAGATACACGAGGCCAGCCCAAACCTCTGATTAACTTGAGGAAAGTTACATTACTTAATGTTACAGTTACATTACTTAAGGACATTAATTAATGCTGTTCCAACTCCAAAGAACTTAACATTTTAGTTTACATACCTACAGAAGAATAAATGTTGACTGGATTTATAGGTTATTGGTAGAGCACTTGCCATAGCATATGCAAGGCCTTAGGTTCAATCTTTATTTTTTTATTAGTACATGATTACATTCCTCATGGGGTATTAATGCATGTACATATTAAAATCTTAATTATTTTTTCATTCCTTTCCTGACTGTACTCTCCCCTATCTCTTCATCTCCTTTCCTTTAACAAAAGCTCTCCCTCCCTATTTTCTATTATCTTTTATTTTGTTCTTTGTTTATATTTGGGGTTTCTCATATGAGAGAAACCATGTGATATTTAAGCTTATAGTCTGATTTATTTCACTTACGGTCTCAGGGTGCATCCATTTTCCCATAAATGGTTCAAGTTTATCCTTCTTTGTAGTGAAGTAATTGTCTTTTCAAAGGTTTGTTGATAGTCTTTAATGATTTTACCACATGAATGACCTACATACATATCTAAAAGAATTATTGAGAGGCATAGTGGCAGTGCTTTGGCCTATAAGATTCTTTGGTATTTAATATATTCTTCATCATTAATAGATTTCTTTTAATATTCTAGCTTGAAATTCAGAATCATCCTTTTTTTGAATCACTCAGTTGGACTGACCTTGTACAAAAGAGGATTCCGCCACCCTTTAATCCTAATGTGGTAAGTGTATACCCAAATCTTCCTAAAAATAATGGACATAGAACTTTGGACTCATTATACTTTGGAAAATAGATCTCAAAATCTAACCTGAATGAAATGATATTGTTATGTATTTGTGAAATATGTCACTTGGTGAAATATATACTTCTGGATGATATAATAACTTCAAGATGACCGATAAGGTAATAGTTAGGTTAGGATGGTGAAAATATCTTCCAGCTCCGTAATTGTGAAATGTTTTCTTTGGAGCATGCATAAAAAAGGGATGAGCTCAGTAAGTAAAGATGCAGATAATCATTTTTATACATAAATAAGTAAACATTTAATGTAACATTTTTTTTCCTAGATTAATGTAAAACCAGATACAAGCAAACATTGCTAACATAAATGGTTACTTTTTTGGAAAATTATAAGATTACATTATAAAAATGTTTATGTTAGCTAGGCTTGTTTTAAAAAATTGTCTTGGAGATGTTTTACAGAATTACTGATACTAAAGGAACGTTTTTTTAGTTAGAGCAGGATGTGAAAATCACCTCAGAAAGTAAATGTCATTTACTCTACTCACGCTTTGTTAAAAAGTTTCTGTGCGCAGCTCATGTCTAATATTAATAGGTATGATATTTTATACCTACAAACGTAATAATATTTGTAAACTAATTTATTTTGTGTAGTCCAGAAGTATAGTTTCAGAAATGACTTACCTATTTAGGGACACTTTTATCTGAGTTTCTAGAATTTGTACTGGCTGACTGTATTTATAGAGGAGGAAACAAGCTAATATAGAGCTAAGGCAATTTATATAAACAGCCAGATTTCAGGAAGTCCTGTGTGTTAGCTTTCTCATCACTTGGACAAAATACCTGACACCTGCAACTTAGAGGAGAAGTTTATGTTGGCTCACAGTTTAGAGGATTTAGTCTGTAGCTGGTTGGCTTCAAGGCAGAGACAGCATGGCCAAGGGGTATGGTGGAGGAAACTGGGAACAAAGATACACCCTTTCGGTCATGCCTCCAGTGACCTACTGCAACCAGACCCCACCTTCTAACACATGAGATTTCTGGGGGCATTATATAGATCAGAACTATAACACCATGCTTCTGGAATTACATGTAAAAATTTTATGAGATGGAAATTTTACTTTTTGGCCATGCTGAGGAGTAAGCCCAGGGCTTTGTGCACTTTAGGCAGGCACTCTACCAACTGAACTACCCATCCATCCTGGATAACATTTTAATTAAATTTCTTTTTAATGCTAAACTGTTTAATACTATAATTTCTAGAATTCTTGTCCTCTGTAAGGGCGTTTCTTGGGTGGAAGGACCTAGCATTCTGGGTTTCCCTGTCTCCTGCTCAGTTTATAGATATACAAGGCTAATATCCTTGATTTACAATCTCTGCCTGGAATCCAGATCTGTTCACTTCAGTTAGACTCATGTCCTGAACATTTTAGGATTCCTTTCTCTGTAGGACAGAAATAACCTAAAATAAATAACCTGGAGATTCAAGGACCATCTTTACAAATGAATCACTTGAATTTGTATCACAGTTTTTATACGTAAACACAGTAAAAGAGGAAAATCCACTAGCTTATATCAGATTCAGAAAGAACCACTGCTTTGAGCCTCAGTATCCACCTTACTCTACTTCCTGTGTACCTGGTTCCCTTGGTTCTCCACAGCCAAGGATGCTCTAAATAAGTGTTTCACGACCTTCTCTGTAGCCCAGCAAGAGTTACCTTCACAGTTCTACTTACAAGCCCTCCCTTCCTCCATCAGAAGTCTCCACCCATCCAGAACTGAGACTGCACAGGCAGGCATTTATGGAAGCCCAGATGAAAAATGCTATTCTGAAAACCCTAGTCCTGTTTCTGAACATCAGCTTGGTGATGGATAGAGAAAAAGGAGATTAATGGCAGAATCTCAGGTTCAGATTAGCTTAGGTCATGCTACTATGATGCTAGCTGGCCTTTCTCACCATTTGTGTCTCTTCTCTACACCCAGCAGTAAGAACCTTACTTGTTAGAACAGATAACTTCACCTAAATAATAAAAATTAGGAAAGGCAGAAAAATGAAATAGGAAAACACCTAAACTTGCTAGGAAAAGAGTGTACAAAGTCACAAAGATTTTAATGAAGGAACTGAGTTAATGATAGAAAAGCTAAAGTGAATAATACTATGCCTTTGATGTTCTAGGCTGGACCAGATGATATCAGGAACTTTGACACAGTATTTACAGAGGAAACAGTTCCATATTCTGTATGTGTGTCTTCTGACTACTCTATCGTGAATGCTAGTGTACTGGAGGCAGATGATGCATTTGTTGGTTTCTCTTACGCACCTCCTTCAGAAGACTTATTTTCATGAACAGTTTGCAACTCAGAAACCATCAAGCAAATACAAGCCTCCAGATGGGACTAAAACTCCTGTTTGTGTGAATATATTCAAATATGTATAACAGTGCCTCATTTTTATATGTAATGTTCAAAACTATGAAAAATGTATTTTCTGCTGTATGCAAGGAAATAGGGCATTTCATGGAGCTGTGTTTTGAATTAAAATTTGTATTCTTGTTTACTAAGCTTATTTTTAACAAAATTTGAAAGCTGTTATTCTTAGCTTTAACCTATTTTTAAAAAACTTTTCTGCTGTTGACTGTTTCCTTCTTAAGTTTACACTAACATATTCAAGATAGACTTTTTCAACAGTCTGTTTCAGTTCACTTAACATACATTAATACCTTTGTAACTCTACTATGACTTGTGTTATTGTGTCAGAACTATGCAATTGGTACATAGTTGTTTAAGAAGAAGCTATCTTTCCATGGTAAATCACTGTTTGAAATAAAAGGTCTTGGTGTAGGATTAAAGTGCAAAAAGTATGTTAACATATTGGCTGCTAGTTAACACTGAATAACCATTCGTTTTGCAGATAAGTAACAAAAGGAAATCTTTTGCTTTTGAAATACAAGTTCAAATCTGTGATTTCCAGCCAAGTGTGGTGACACACACCTATAATTCCAGCCCTAGAGGCTGAGGCAGGAGGATAACCATGAATTCAAAGCCACTCTGGGCTACATAGTGAGTTCATGACCAGCTTGAACTATATAGTGAGACCCTGTCTCAAAAAATAAAAATAAAAAATAAAACATAAAATTGTGATTTTTTTTTCAGTCTAGAAAAAAAGGAAAAAGTTAATAGTTAGAAATTTAAGACTTCCCAAAGAGTTGAAGGGTAATAAAGTACGGCTGGATTTTTTTTTAAGGTGGGGCCAAAAATAATGTCTCTGTGTTATATATTTATATTACAAATATATCCTATTTATGTTCCTTTTGGTGTTTTGAATGTTTAATGCACTGTTAAGTAGGTCTAAATTTGATTTGTTTATGCAAATAGCTATTTCAAAACTAATTGGTTGGGAAAAATAAGTAGATCTCTCTAGAATATTTACCTAATTGAGAATGTAAAAGTAAAACAACAAATCTGGGTCAGTGTAGAACAGTTTCACTATAACAGAAGTTAAATATAATTTGTGCAGTTTCATAATCAGTATTTGGGGTTGAGGGTCTGGGGCTCAAACCCAGGGCCTTGCACATGCAAAGCGTGCATGCGCTCTACCACTAAATTATAACCCCAGTCCCTCAGTATTTTTGTGTGTCTTAGAAAAAGTATAGGAAACTGATCTTAGAAATTATAACATGCCAATTAACTTGCACCTTTTCAGATCATGTAGGAAATAGTAGTATAAAGGTTTGATAAGCCAGTTTAGATGCTCTAAGAACAAACTTCCCTTCTACGTATTTGCTTGAAAGAAGTCACCAAAGCATTTCTCACCAATACCCTTTGACTTAAAAATACTCCTCAGGATTGGGAAGGAAGGGGGTACTCTTGTTCAATTAATATTTACATCTAGTACACTGAATCTTCCTTTAGAGGTAAGACTTTAGTATCTACACTGTAAATACTTGATTTGGTAATAATGTAAGTTCTGCTTTTAATCAAAGCTCTTTGTTCATTATAAAACCAAGATAAAGATTGTAGCTTCTTGTATGAGTCTTTTTTTTTACTCACATACTCCTTAAACTGCCAGAAATTAAAGTGCAATATTGTTTTAAGAACAAATTTAAGTTAGAATTTTGATATTTCTTGGATCATAAATACAGATCTATATAGTATAATAAAATTAGCAAAAAAGATTAATGATCATCAAATTGCCTGTCATTTGAAATTAAAATTAGTAGTAGTTACAGTAGTCATTACAAAATAAATTACATGTTTAAGGGGAAAAGGCATGAGATTGTAACAAAATGTTTGGACCAATTGTTAGATTATCATAGGCTAACATGTATTATTTGGGAACAGAATTTCTTCCAAGTTTCAAATTTATCTCTTCTATCATAGCATAAGTCTTTCAGAAAACTGTATGGCCCTTGAATAGTTGACCTAATTCATGGTATTTACCAAAAATAAAGCTGTAAATGAAGACTTTTAATTACTCATACATGTGGTTTGGAAGTTAGTTCTGTTCTTGAAGTGGGATTCTTGCCACTTTAAAGGAAGTTGTTACTGACACTGGTTTTTACACATTATTCCATTCCCAGTGTGGGTAACAGTATGGTGGGGACCCTTTTTTCATAGGTGGAGCTTCTCATTATGTCCTTGCTAATTTTCTGGGTTCTCTTAAGAGCACTAATCCATTCACCTCCCAGAAGCTCTACCTTGCAGTACTATTGAGGATTAGATTGTGGCATGAATCATGTGAGGCACAAACTTTCAGAGCATAGGATTATGAAAACCTGAAGTGCACATAAGAGTTTCAGGTGGCTTGAGTATCTTGAAGTGATATGCCAATTTTGGTGTGTAAATGAGATTAACAGGGACATGGTAGGGAGTATTACGTAGCTTTATCAAATGTAAAAAGATTCTTGTATATAAAAATATTGGGGTTCATTGCCACTTTACTAAAATAATATTAAGAGAAATTGCTTGTAATTTTCATGATAGCATTTCAATTGGAGACTTATTTATGTAGCATTTTTGGTACCTTGTGAATACTATGTAATGATCCTTTTGTAATTCTTTAAACATAATCCTTACAAGCTAAAAAGACCCCTACACAAAAATATCTCTCACTTCATTACTTTGTATTCCTGTTTGTATGAAAGTAATGAAAAGAAAAATTATTAAACTTGCTTAGTGTATTTTTAAATAATTTACTCATTGAAACAATTTAAAGCAGTTGTACACAAAGAAAAAAGCCAGTAGAGAATTATAAATTGGGAATGATTTATAGTGATTAAGTGGCTAGAGTCCTACAAATGAAGAGCAATTTGTTTTTATATATTGGACTGAATATGATGGGTCACCATTGTTGAATATTAAGAGAATTGATGTATGAATATTAAGGAATAATACAAACACATATCATTCTTCAAACCTTGTTACTTGAAAAACCAGACACATCTTGATAATCTTGCATTCAAGTGCAGTTTGTAAATGTTTACTATAAATTTTTTGTGGAAATGTATCTCAGGTTCATCTTTATTGGATTTTTTTTCCCAGTTTTTTCTACAGAGTAGTTCATGTAGCTTTGTTGTGCTGAATTTTCTCTAATGAGTCAGAGGTAGTAAATACAAAAATTCCATTTGAAGGTCTGGGGATGTCGCTCAGTCCTAGAGCTCTTGCCTAGCATATGCGAGGCCCTGGATTCATTCACCAGCATTGAAAATCAGTGATACGTTGACCTTGAACACTAACAGCTACCTTTCCCCTCTAGAACTGGGGACTGAGCCCAAGGCCTCGCCAGGTCTGCCGGCCCAGTGCTGTCGCGGGGGTGCGGAGCGCCTGTCCCGGCGGCCCCTGCGCGCCAACGGCCGCGAGTGCGCGCATGCGCGCGGGTGACGGCCTGGCCCGGGCCCCGCGCCTCCTGCCGCGGGCGCTCGAGGCGACACGCGACCTGCCCGTCCCGGTGGGTGCCGGGCGGTGGGGAAGGTGGCCCCTGGTGGTGGGAGGGGTTGGGATCCGCGCGCGCGGCGCTGCGTTCGCTGTCACCCGCTTTGGTGGTGAGCTGTTCTCCTGCCTCGGTCTCCTCAGCAGTTCACTCCTGGACGCGGGCGCTGGGCCCCGGGAGAAGGCGAAGCAACTGCCGTAGGATTTCATCCCTCGCCCGGCGTCGTCCGTGGGCTCGTGTGCGTCTCTTGTTCGCTCGCAGGACCCCGCGGCCTGGGCTCGCGCGGGCTGCGCTCCGCCGCGCTCAGCTGCCGTCGCCCTCCGCTCGCGCCTGGCGGGCCGGTTCCGGAGCCGCTCGGAGTCGGGAGTCCGCGAGCGCACGCGGCCTTACCGGCCCCCCACCCTTCCCGGCTTGTGTTCACAGTACAGCAGCAAAATCCTTCTCAAACTTTAACAAGGGCTGGGGCTGGGGATGTAGCTCAGTGTGAAGGTTCAGTCGCAATAAAAAAACAAGAACAAAAAAACCCACCATTTGACGGTACCTCACTTACACTGTACAAATTAATCACCAAGTCTAACGTAGAATCTTTAAAATTCTAGAATTTATTTCTATTCCAGTGTGTCCCTAATGCTCTAGTTCTCCATCCATCTCTTAGGAATGTTGCAATAGTTTCATCCCATTTTCCACACTAGCCGCATGTGATCTCCAAAGTAAAACTCTGATCATAATAATTCTCTGTTTAGAACAGACAAAAAAAAAAAAAAAATACCAACGAACTTTGTAGGCCTCTTTTAGCCTATATAGTCATTACAGATTTCAAAAACTTTCATAACTGGCTTTACCCAACCATTTCATTGTTAATTACTTCTATTCAACCTCAGAAACCTACTGTTCTAGTGAAGTAGAGATCTAATGTCCCGAACACGACACATATTTAAAGAGTAATCCACAGAGGAATAAGCTCTGACTTTTCATTCCTGTTAATAGCAAAAAAGATAGATAGGAGGGTTCTAGATCTAGTAATGGGAGACTTACAGCGGGGGCTACTGGTATTTACCTTTTTCTCTGGAAAACTTCCCTTTAGAGATACTCATCTACCAGATGTCACCTAAATAGAATTCCTAGCTCATCTATGATCCCACTATCTTCAAAATATCCTAAAATAATGGAACATATGACCCAAACACAAATTTTACGGGAGATTTCACATATGGGGTTCCTTCCATGCGCCCCAGAATATTCCAACTTCTGTTATAGCACTTCAGTCATCACATAACTGTTTCCACGTAGTATCTTCCCTCACTGTACTCCATCCGAAGGATGGGAACATTTTACTCATCTCTGTATCCCTAGTGCCTAGGATAGTTTGGTTATCCAACACATAGTAGGTGCCAGATAAATAATTGATAAATGTATTAGTCATTTCTGACCTGTTAAAATTGGTAACTTGAAGGCAAGACCCAGTCTTGAATCATCATTTTCCTAATACCCAGTATAATTACTATATGGCACATACTGTTCGTTTCCAATGGGTGTTTTGTTGCCTTTAAATTTTTCATATTCCACTCAGCTTATAACTGTGGCTCAATGTTGGTCACTGACACAAGATTTAACTGAAAGAGGCCTCAACATGTAACACAACCCCTTCATTTCTTACAAATAAATACTGAGCCAAAAGAGATCCAGTGGTTTTTTCATAACGATCAAACTGGGTGGAATACCAGTTTCTCAGATTTCCCAAGTTAGTACTCATTCTCCAACATTTTGTTACTTAGATTGAATTTATGAAGCAACTTTTACTACTTTCCTGTTAAACTGCCTGCAAGGGAACTTTACCATCCAATATATTTCAACAAGCATTTTTTGGAGGACAGTACTTTGTAAAAACATTTGAGGTTCCTGTGTTTGTTGTTTTTGCTCTCTTGAACCTAGGAGCTTCTGCATGCTAGGCAAGCACGCTAGCATTGAGCTAGATCTCCAGCCCCCTTTCTTGCATTTTTTAAAAGAGAGGGTCTCACTGCGCAGACTGGCCTGGGACTTGAAATCCTCTTGCCTCTGTTCTCGGGGTAGATGATATAAGTACATGTGTACCACCCCTACCCAGCTGAGGCTCCTGTTCTTAAGTCTGTGATCTTGCAGAATATCTGCTAAGTGTTGAAAATGTTATTTGGGGGCTGGGAATGCGTGGCTCAAGTGCTAGACCACATGCTTAACGTGAGAGACCCGGATTCAATCCCCAGAAACCTCCCAAAAATATTATTTGGCTAAAGAAAACAACTGTCAATTTCAAGTTTACCAGGTTGGAAAGTTTTATTAGAGTTCTTCAAAAGTAAATTTTATTTTATTTTATTTTTAGAGTGTCTCATCCTTTCTGTGAGTCAGTACTTGTCATCTTCACCAGAAACTGCAATTTAATCAATTAGTAATAAAGAAGAATCATTAACTAGGAGAAAATGTCAAATTTAAAAATGAAAGAGGCAGCCCTCATCTATCTCGACAGAAATGGAGGTCTCCAAAAGTTTATAGACGATTGCAAATACTACAATGGTATGTTCAACGGAGATGGTTTTAGAAACTTTCAAAAAAATTTTCTACATGCAAGTATCCTGACTTCTACATTTATTTTCACAGATTCAAAACAAAGTTATGCTGTATATCGATTCAATATTTTAATAAATCCCTCTGATGTTCTTGAACTAGATGCTGAACTTGGAAATCACATTTTACATCATCCTTTAAAAGCTGTTCAAGTTTTTCAATCAGTAAGTTAAGGAAAGAAGTAATTTTACACCCGTAGAATTCTTGGTAACTTTGTTTATTTGTTTGAAATCACAGGTCTGTTTTATTGCTGTTAAGACTCTCTCGCTAATTGAACAATTACAGACTGAAACTCAAGTAAGTTTTAATTAATTTTAACAAAACAAACTTTCAAGTTGACTTGTAAATTAATATTTTCATATTCATTTTGTTTTTAAAAAAACTAGACTTTTCAAAGTTTAATGGAATAACTTTCATGTTTATTTTCTGTGTTATCACTTATAAGATTAAACTTTTTAGCCAAATGTGGTGGCACACACTAGTAATCCCAGCACTCTGGAGGCTGAGGCAGGAAGATCTTGAGTTAGAAGCCAACCAAGCCTACATAGCAAATTCAAGGCTGGCCTGGGCTATATAGTAAAATCCTGTCTCAATGAATAAATTAATTAATTAATGAATAAAAGAAAGAAGGAAAGATTAAACACTTTTATAATAAGAAATTTCAACATACCCAGAAGAGTAATACAATGCTATATATGTCAGTGTTAACAATATTTTGCCATATCTTCATTACCTACTTTTATCTGAAATATTTTAAAGCAAATCCTAGATGCTCTATTGTTTTACCCCTACCTATATTTTAATGTCTGCTTCTAAAAATTAAGGACTTTTTGTATAGAACCACAGTGTCATCATCACCCCCTATAAAAGTAACACTAATTTGTTGATATCATTTAACATTTAATCCATAATTAAATTTGCTTAATTGTCTTGAGAATGTCTTTCAACTGTCCTATTTAAGTCAGTATCAAAACAAGGTCTACACATTATAATTGGTTCTTATATCTGGATATGTGCCTTTCAAACTAGAGCTATTCCCTTTCCCTCTTTTATTTTATACATTGACTGAAGAAGCTAATTAATTGTCCTATAAAATTTTACATAATCTGTATTTGTCTGATTGCTTCTTTGTGGTGCTCTTTAATTTATTCCTTTATATGCCTTATCTCTAAATAAAAGGTGCCCCTAAAGACTTAGATTCAGATTTAATTCATTTTAACAAGAATACATGCATTCTGTTATTGCACAATATCAGTATGAGATAATGTTTTCCCACTTTTAGCAACTTCATAATTGATCAGTGGGTTCAGGTGAGGTCATTCTGATCCCTCCATTATGCAGCATCCTGATAACTTCCACCCATTTGCTTTATTTTGTTTTTTGTTTTTGTTTTTGTGTGTCTTTTTGAGACAGGGTCTCACTATGCAGTTCAGGCTGGCCTTGAGCTCACTTTGTAGCCCAGGCTAGTCTCCAACTCACAATGATCCTCCTGCCTCAGTCTCCCAAGTGCTGGGATTACAGGCATGCACCACCACGCCCAGCCCCCACCCAGTTACTTTAGAATGCCTAGAATCCTTCATTTCATCAACTCCCAGAGTTGAAAAATTGCAATTGTCCTAACTTTAGTATTTTTTCTGAATTTACTGACTGAAATGATTCTATAAAAGAAATTTTTTTATCAACTGTTTGATTACTCTGACATACAGTTTGCACAGGAATGGCAGGATAAATGATTATTTCCTTGTATAGTTTCAGAGAGTAATGAGTTGAAATCTAGCAACTTCTAACAATGATGAATTTTTTTGTTTTTACTTTTTTTTAAATGCATAAAGCTCATAAACTTTTCAATATGGCTGAGAGTTGTAATAATCTCTCATTTGTTTTTGATGCTTACGTCTTTCGTTTTGGGGAGTCTCTTCTAGTTCACTCCTGTATCCTTTTGACACATGCCATTAGATTTTTTGTTTGTTAGTTTGTTTTTGTGGTATAGGGGATTGAACCCAGGACTTTCACGATAATCTACATCCCCAGCACACTGTACCCCATTTTTATTTTTAATTTTGAGACAAGGTCTTGCCACATGACTAACTTGGCCCAGAGTGGAATTGAACTTGCAGTGCTTCTGCTTCAGCCTCCAGAATCCCGGGATTAAGCCAGTTAACTTCTAGCACAAGATGCACCAAGTCTGTATAGTATATTTTCTGTTCCAAACTGAGAATAAGCTATTTCCTTTAAAGATCCCTGGTTCTTTTTAGCAAAAAATGACATTTAAAGATCATAAATTGGACACTAAAAGTATTCTTTGCTATTGGGTTGAAATTGTTTTTAAAAAAATTTTTAGTGGTTATAGCCAGGAATTATATATCTTCAAGGAAAAATAATGGATTCCTCATAACATTTCCAATTAAAATGTTAGTTTATATGTTTTTATTTCTTTTCTTTTCTTTTTGGTCTTTTTTTTTTTTTTTTTTT